CTCTACGAGTGGGAGAACCTAGGTAATTGGTTCCATTCTCATAGTGCTCTAACAGTCAGGAAGTTCTTCCTGATGTTCTGCCAGAACGTGGCTACCTGTGTCTTTAGCCTGTTAGTCCATGTCCTACACTCTGGGATGATCAAAAAGAGATCCTGTCCTTCCTCTTTGTGACAGCTTTTCAAGTACTTATAGACTGTTGTCTTCCCTTGCTCTTCTCTTCTTGAGGCTAAATATGCGCAGTTCTTTCCATCTCTCCTTATAGGTCTTTGTTTCCAGTCCTTGGATCATCCTTGTTGCCGCCCTCTGAGCCCTTCCCAGCTTACATCTCTCTTAAACTGTGGTGCTCAGTACTCCAGATGAACCTAATTAGTGCTGAGTAAAGTGGAACTAGCGCTTCACATGATTTGGAAGTGGTACTTGTATTAATGCAGCCTAATATTGCATTTGCCCTTGTTGCAGACACATCACATTGTTGACTCATACTCAGCTTGTGATCTGCAACAATTCCAAGATCTTTCTCGCTTTCAGTATTGTTGAGCCAAGTATTCCCTGCCTTGTAATGAAGCCAAGCCCAGCACTCCAACCTATCCAGATCACAGAACCTGATCATCATTGCCTGCACTTCCATATCCAAGTCATCAATAAAAATGTGGAAGAGCACTGGGCCCAGGACTGAACCCTGTGATACTCCACTTATTACCTCTCTCCAGCTTGAGAGGATGCCATGGATGAGCACTCTTTTAGCTAACTGTGGAACCACCTGTTAGTTGTTCCACGTAGCCCACTTTTAGGTAGTTTGCTAATGAGGAGATTGTGAGGCACTTTGTCAGAAACTTTGCTGACGTCAGGATAGATTATGTCCTCAGTATTCCCACAGTCCATCAGGAAGATTTTCCAATCAAACGAAATCAGTCTGCAATGATTTGTCCTTCCTGCCATGTCCTGTTCCCAAATGTTGTTTAATGTCATTCAGCCAGTCGTGTCCAACATGCTCTTACAGCATCACTTTGTTTTGCCGACTGATGATTTCATTTCCCACATTGTTCTGAGAACATGTGTGACCCTTTGGGAGGGGCGCGCAGTGTTGACTGCTGCAGGTAGCCAAGTGAATCACTCTGTCATGGGCAGATGTTGTGTGTGTGTGACTGCATGTGTGTTGAGTGGGGAGGGAACTGCACAGCCATATATCTGGCTGTAAATGCTAATTGACAGTGACTCTTGCCCCCAACAACTGCAGGTCCTTTGGGAGAAGATGACTGTAAAGTAGGGGTGCAGAACCTCAGCCTCAGATTCACATGACCCTCTGGCATGTCACAGATACTGTCCTAGCCCTATATTCTTTCCCCTAACCATGAATGATTTGTGCAGATTTTCCTGATCCTGAAAGGCTGAAATACTTTAGGGCTTGGTCATAGTTTAGCTTTCCTCTAAAATTTGATGGCATTTCTCCCGCTCCAGGCCTGCTCGTTTTTCCTTCAGCCCTGCCCTCCATGAAGCCCTGGGAACTTTTCCAAAATGGAATTTGGTTCTCAGTCTGAATGAGTCCCATATCTCTGCTGTTCACCATCACTCAGTTCCTAAAATCTTTCCATGTATCTTATGATTTAAAAAATTGTTCAGAAGCTGTACAAACATATATATATCTCAAGGAAGTTTGTGTGAACACATGAATATAGTGCAATCTCTGGCACAGTTGACTCTTCCAGTAGAAATAAGAAATGTCTATCATGAACCAAGCACTACCCACTGAAAGCAACAAAATTACATAATATTAATAATAATAATAATAATAATAATAATATAAAATCTGTTTTTAACAAAAGGTCTTCAATCTACAAGTATTATACATCACATTAGGCTTTCAGATCATTAATAACTAGGATCAAATGTTTTTTCCTTAAATACCAAAATAAATGGTCTTTAGAATTTAACATCTATGAGTATTAATACAGCATTGCATACTGCCTCAAATTTTATTGCACATTTTTAAATTTTCACATTTAAAATTATGACCTTTCTCTTCCCGTGTGATTCTTGGTGGCCTTCTCTCCAGGACTGTGATCTGGTTCATACCTGCTTAGTTCCAATTATCCTGCAGCAGCAACTTTCTGCCTTACAGCTAACTAGAACACATGTGTTCATTTTTAATTTAATACATTAACTTTATGTTTCCCATTGCCAGGAAAAATCACATCTCCCAGCTCGTTGGAACATTCCAATTTCATAGATTTTCTCTGTACCAGGAACATTTGTTGGAGTGCTCTTGGCCAAGTTGGAAGAACATGAGGATACAGGGACAGATAATAGCCTACCTTCTGCCAAAATAAAGCCCTTTTCAATATTATGCCATCCAATCCCATCCAATCTTTGTGGGGGTCTATGCAGAGGGACTAGTTGTGTAGGAATATTACGCAGGCTGCATCCTCTGAACATTCAAGTGTGTTAACATTACTCAATAGTAACAAAATTGAATACCTTAATATATTTTTAAAGGCTGCTATGCTCTTATTCTTACGTACCACACACACTGAATATTCAAAATCCCTGTTCTTACCATTGGAATGTACCCAATGCATAATTTGTTAGGAATAAGTAGCTTTCATATTCTAAGTCAACATGCATAAAATTGGAATGTCATCCAAATATTTAATCATCCCAACGTTATGATTATTTCCCAAAACAAGCTTTCTTCCAGATGCTTTGGACTTCAGCTCCCATCAGTCCCAGCCAGCATAGACAATGGTCAGGAATTCTGGTAGTCCAACACATCTTCCCCAGACTGGGGAAAGACTACTCCAAACATTGAGCTAGTGGAAGCTGTATTGAATTTCTGTCCAAAGCTCACTCTCGTGCGCTCACATTTCAATACCATTTTATGCAGTGTTGGTTTGTCTTTTTGAGATCATCTCCTAAATATCATCCGTTGTAGCTTTGCAATTTCCAGGCTGATTCCATAACTGCTTCAAATGGCAGTAGGTGTTGAAATGGAATATAGACAAGGCTGATGGTTTCATGTCCAGTGCTACCTGGGGTAATATGAAGTCTATTTCTTCACTTCAGAAAATATTCATATCATGCAAATGAATTTAGGGCAGAGAAAATTAGAATGCAAAGGACTGACTGAAATGTAACAGTAAAACATGCTTCGGTGCTACAGAACCGAACATTCCAACTGTCTTGGGTTAGCACACTCTCTACTCCTTTTCTGGACTGGGGCAAACCACAGCTTTCCATTTCATCCAACCTGACAAACTTACCTGGCAAACAAAGACTGGAAACCAGGTTGCTGTTTTTCAGTCATGGTTTTTACAGGATAAATACAAACCATAGTTTGATAGTTAGAACAGCATAGTTAACAACAGTTTGCCTGAAACTGGGAAAGGAGCATTGCTCTGTGCAGGGGTAAAGAAGGGAGACGAGAGGAGTATGTGAGCCCAAGAATTCTGGAAGGTTTATTCTTATAAAAGAAAACTATGGTTTTGACATTGCCTTGAGCCAGTGATAGGGCGAGTGGGTTTGCATCTGGTTGCAAAATGTGCTGCCTGACCGGACATGAAATGTGAGCGGCAGGAAACTGTTGGAGCCAACGGTGCCACAATTTGGTAAGGGCAGTAAATGAAGAAAATATCTGGGAACTTCAGCATGGATGACTGGGGAGATAGATAAGTATAACAACCAAATCAGGTGAATGTTGCAGTATGTTGCAGTAAAGAATTTAATTGAAAGAGCATAAAGAATGTGGGCAGTCTTCCTCAGCCTGTGCCTTTGAGGTGTGCTTGATTGAAGTTCCTGCCATTACCATCCAGTAGTCCTGTATATTTGGAAGCTGGGGCATCTCATGGGGCAAGCAAACTAGTTAGTCACTTGGGGAGGCAAATTCTGAAGGTGCCAAACAATCCCTTTGTTTTCTGTCTCATGGGCTGGCACCCTCTTGTCTGCATTAAAACAACCACCTTTTCATGCAGCCTTCCAGTACTTTCTTACAACAGTATATAGCGGTCTTCATTCCTTCTTCAGGTAGCCTGAGAGAGTGCACATACGTTTCAGTATATTACATCCCAAAGGTACTGGCTTCTCTTTCTTGCTTCTCAGAGAAGCCACACTGGCTGTTTGCCTGCTGCACTAAACGCTGCAACAGAAAAGCGTCCACCAAAGCAGCCCAAAGTGCTCTCCCCACCCAAGCACTTGGCGTTGACAGGTCCTTCCTCAAAGCAAGGGAGGCATTCTACATAAAGTAGCCTTTATTTATTTATTTAGTATTTTTGTATGCCGTCCCATCGCTTATAGCCTCGGGACGGCTCACATAAAATAAATAAACATAATACACAGTAAAATAATACAGTTAAAAACCCAGAATCACCCTGGCTGCAAAATTAAAACCTATAGATATTATTAAGAGTTGTTAAAATATTGTTTAAATAAAAAGGTCTTAACCTGGCGCCGAAAAGCAAATAACGATGGCGCCAGGCGGACCTCTCTGGGGAGCGCATTCCATAGATGGGGTGCCACCGCAGAGAAGGCCCTCCTCCGGGTACTTTGCCTCCTGATGTCTCTCACGGAGGGCTCCCAGAGGAAGGCCTCTGCTGCTGATCTCAAGGGGTGGGAGGGCAAATATGAAGTAGCCTTGAAGGTTACTCTTGGGCCATCTCACCCAGAATGCCTCGCTTTCTTTAAAGAAAGGCTCTTCTAAGGTCTACTTGTGGTCATTCAGCAATCTTACTGTTCTCCAACCTGGAAATGCTACAGAGTGTTCAATCTAAAAGTGCTGGGAATCATTCAGCAGCAACATAAAGTACCTTAGGGAGCTGCTGCTGTTTTTTTCTTCTTCAACTGTGAAAAAAGGATAAAACATTTTTTCAGAGTTACACCTAGCCAAGAACCCAAGGAATGCTATTCCTTAGGAAGGGTTGGTGTCCTCAGCTATAGCCTCAGCTATAGATCTGGAAACCTTGCTTTGTTAAGGAAAAGGCCTCACTGCAAATGTTGCTTCGGATTCACAGAGCGAGCGGCTGGAGTGTATCACCGAGAGGGAAGAGCCGGAAAGTACCAGCTCACCTATGCGGAGGCAAAAGCAGTGTGTGAATATGAAGGAGGACACCTGGCCACATACCAGCAGCTGGAGGCAGCAAGAAAAATTGGTATGAATGTAAAATATATGGAGTCATAGGGGGGCATGCTCTTACAGAAAGTTTTGTACATGCTATGAGGTCTATCGAAAGACATGCACAAGAAAAAGCGGCTTGAGCAAGAAGCTGCTTAGCAGATTGTACCTTTTAATCTTCATTCTTCAAACTTTGTGTGTTGTTGATCATTTAGTAGTTTGTTTATTTTCCTTTTGTTTAAAGGCCCACTTACATGCAAATGACACTGCTACTGAAATATATTTACAGAACTTTTCTAAGAGGGACTTTTATTGTACATTTGTTGTTTCCCATTCATGGTTGTTTATGGGTATTTTAAACAATGTCATCACTATCCAGTTTTGCTTCTGTTTTTTAAAGGTAATTTCTTTCTGTCAAAGGGAGCAGGGAGATGGAGAGGGGGAAATTCTAGTATTTGGGGGCATTGTGAACAAGGTCCAGGGTCCACTATTGGTGTAGTTGTGGTATTCCACTATACCACAGTGTCACCTAGAGGTTAAATGCAGAAACTGCAGAAAAGCAGGAAAGGAAATGACTTCACACAGAGCTGCAGTCTTAATTCCCCACTGGAATTAAAACTGAAAGCAAAACTGGAGGTTTAAACAGCCTCATCTAGATTAAGCAGTGCTGAAGAGGAAAATGTAAGAAATGTAAGAAACATGAATTCAACCCGTCTTAGTCTCCTAAAAATGTATGCCATATGAAAGTTTAGTCCTAAAGATTTTACTTACTTGGCAGTAAGTCCTGGTTGATTCTGTAGGACTTATCAGCACAAATCTACTGCATGTGAACAGACCTAGAAAAGCACACTATGATAATAAAGCAAGCAACCAAAATTATAAATCGTCACACTATCACATTGTCAGTTCCCTGCTGCATGTTGTAGGTCCCATTGATTTGCTTATGCAAGCAGGAAATGCCACTTAAGCAAGGGAAATTTTATGCTTCCAAAAGGAAGCCTTCAAATGAACAGAGAAGAGGCAGGTGGGCAGAGCTCCTTTAACCAAGCTCTGCCAACTTGTCTTCCTCTAGAAAGGAGAGTTTCCGCTCATTTTGGGTTGCCTCAGAAGCACTAAATCATAATACACAGCAGTAGATGACACTTGTGCAATGAAACTGATGTGACCCAAGTGATTTGGTGGGAACCTAAGTGCCCCATTGGATTCTACTCAAAGACATACATCTTTCGTTATTATACATAAATCACAACAGCTATATATATAGATGCCCCTGAGGGATAATCACACATGGCCCACAATATGGTGTGTGTGCACTAAAGGGCTATCTGAATGGCACAATATTTGATCATTCACATTTGAAGGAGAAGAAAAATGGACACATTTTCTTTCAGCAGTATTTTACAGATCCACAGTGCAACTAATAACTGGCCAGACTTTGAATACAAGTGCTGAAGTCTGTCATTACTGATATTTAGTAAGCATCTGCATCCAGTGGTTCTTTATTGGTTTAAAGTGAAAACAGCTCTTTTTATTGTCTGAAAATCCAAATGATGACTCACTTGAGCCATGTACGCAGAATTCTCTATGCTCTGGGCAAAAATTATTTTGTGAGCAAGACCTAATTCAGTTCAACTTCGCTGGGTTCTATTGTATTTTTGGCAGGAACAAGAGGTTTTTAATGCAAAGCATAGTGTTTCTTCCTTAGCCAATAGTGAGCCCCTGTGACACTGCTTTTAATCCCTCAGGATACCATATGTGTGCTGCGGGCTGGTTAGCCAAGGGGAGAGTCGGCTACCCCATCGTCAAGCCTGGAAGCAACTGTGGCTTTGGGAAGAAAGGGATTGTGGATTACGGCTTCCGGCTCAACAGAAGCGAGAAATGGGACGCTTACTGCTATAATCCTAACGGTTTGTGAACAACCACTCTATTTCTTAAGGCTGCATTGTATTGTCTGTTGTACCCTTTTCACACCAACTTAATTTTTACAGGGCCAGCACAAAAAGCAGGCAAAGTTGGGCACGGGCCGTGGCCCCGCACTCTAGCAGAGGCCCACCCATGTGGGCCCCTGGAGTTGTCTTCCTCTTCATCACTGCAACTAGCTTTTTAACCAGCTATTCAGTGAAAACACATCTGGGGAAAAGATTTGGGCAAAAGACTGAGAATTCCATATGGGTTAAATTGTGATCCAGTGCACCCTTTAAATCTGTTACAAGCAAAACGGAGTCCATAAAACCAATTCAGGAAGGGAGCTGACTCTACCGAGAATGAGCTGCAGCAGCTGTGAAGACACCGGCACATGCTTTTGTATGCGGTGACTTTGTCCCAGGATACATGTTCATGAAGTGACAGAAATCACAAACCAGAATTCGGAGGAATCCCCACCATTAGGCTTATTGTCTATATTTGACAGAACAAAGGCAGATTTAAGACACAAATATCTCCTAACGTTTGTGTCAGTCGCACCACAACTAATAACAGCACCACCCCAGTCAGTATGGAAATAAACTTTGGTGTATTGCCTTAATGGGAAAATTAATGTGTCGAGTCAGATGGATAGACTTGAATAATATAAGGACTGGTTTCATGGAAAATCAGGTGCTTTTGATACATTTCGCAAATAAGGTAACGTGGGACTTCCATAGTCACATAGGCCAAGCCTGAAAGATGGGTTGGGTTGAATGGAGGAGCATAATTAATCTGGTTAATGCAGTTACACATAATGAGATATCTAACATTAGTTGCACCCTGGAAATCCTAATTACTGTTTAATGTACACATGCAGTTTACCCAGTGATGACTGCTGCTTTTATCAATTTTATACGAAATTCCATCAGACTATTTGAAAGAAAAAAGGAGGAGGAGGCGCCATAAATGCCCTTGCCTACATGCTCAGTGTCAGACAAGCAAGTAATAACAGTGACGAGAAAAAAGATGAGCAGTGAGAGGTGTTGGTGACCATGGTGGTGTAGAATAGGCCCATGGAGGGTATCATATCCAAAGACCCTCAAAAACCTGGAGCCACCAGCACCAAGCACAAAATCCACACCCCCCCCACCCCCAGTTAGAGGCCACTTTCTAGTGCAGCAGACTATGCGTTGCCACAACAGATTTCATAAATCTGCAGGCAGGGTTGTATTTCTAAAAATGAAACAGGGTGGGGGAGGATGCGTTCTGCTCGCATGTTCCTCCTCTCCCAGGCTGGTAGGGCTTTCCTTCCCCTCTTATGAGCTGAAAATGTTCTGATTAATGGTGAAATCAATACCCTGGAATCTGGACTATGTAGATGTAAGCTTCTTACCTTCCATTGGTGACTTTCTTTCCCCCCTCCTTAGTAACACATGTGGGACAAAGGCTTGTATCCAGTGTTAGTCCTACTTAGGGTAGACTCGTTGAAAATACTGGGACTTAAGTTAGACTAGCACACAACCGAAAGCGATGGTCACAAGGTTGGACTAAGTCATTTTGCTTCCTGATATGAAAAAGTAAATAACCCTTCTCAGGTCAAATTGAGCAATATCAATGGCTGTTGGCTATTGGGTCACAAAATATACCAGAGGCATTCTCTCACCACACCTCCCTGCCAGTAAAAATATAACAACAAATGGTGTAACTAACCATTCAATGTCGTTTCATCAGTTCCCCGAGGGAGCTGTCTCATTCTGCTTAACAGCTGGGCCAGCTCTGGACACATGATGGCAATGGAAGGAGAACTGAGGCAAGAAAGACCCAAGTTTGCTTCTTGTACTGGAGTAAATAGGGAGAAGCCAACTTCAAGTTCTCACCATATCTGAGACTGAAATATTTATCTTATCCAATAGGTGGCCCAAATAAATATCCCTTGCAGATTAAAAATATATAGAGAATATATTTATGTGCTTATCAAGATGGAGTACCCATTGTTTGAATTAGATACTATCACACTTAATTTTGGCTGGCCAGCATCAAGGGTAAGCATGGTGCTACTGAGAAAGATCCTTGGAATTGCTCCTCCTCCTCACTATTTCAACACTCTTGTTCAGTTGCTTCTTGCTCTGGCCCAGACTATGGTACAGGTGCAAAGCAGGAGTTCTTCAACATCTGAATTTGATAGTGCCAACAAAATTTGCATGATTCATCTACAGTTTCCCCCTCTTTTCCTTTACCAAAAGTCAGGAGGACTTCACAGAGTGAGCTTGCTTTCAATGACAAAGCACTGGGAACCTCGGAAATGTTTGCAGACATTTGTTCATTTCCCAGTTCCTGAGCAGGAATTGTAAGGAAAACATCTGCTAAGGCAGGCAGGGCTAGGTTCCAGGCAGCATCAGTGCAGGCCCAAGAGTCCAACCATGTCAACACACTCTAGACTGTTCCTGCCAAGCCCTTGTTTCTGCAGGCAGTGGAGCCCAGCGCTAAAGCTACTGACATGTTCCTGCAACTGATCATCAGGAAAGCCCTGTGCTTTCCATCTGCCTAGCCTGCCAAACAGGCCCAGGAGCCTTTCTGCTTTTCCTGCCCAGTGCGTCTACTATTCAGCCTAAGCAGGAAGAATTCAAGGATCTTATTATCTGATCACATTTGCAGTGGATACAAAAAATAAAATGGGTGGTGAAGAAAAGTGGCAACTGAGAAAGAGGAAATGATCCAGTAAAAGAGTTTCTGTTTTTAAAATAAAAGAATAACACTATGAATAAGGCAAACCAGTGAATGCTGAAGATAACTGCGGAAGGTTAAGTGTGAACTGTGGTTAAGGGGTCTAAGTTTAGAGAATGCTGGCAAAAGAGCTTGCGCTGCAGTGCACGAAGAGGATTCTAAAATGGTGCTGATGGTTTTCTTCGCTGTTGTGCTTCACGAATATGCAAGTTGTTTGGGATTTTTCTTGGGTTGTTTGTTTGTTTGGTAAACACTGCCATCTTAAATCTAATCAGTTTGCTTTTAATGAGTTGGAATGTTCCTTGGTTTAGGGCATACTATGTGAGCCCAGCATTAGGAACTATGTTACTTTATGGTGCTTGCCACATGTGTTTATCGTTGTGTGAATCCCATAATTATTTTCAACTTGTACCATACCCTTTTTCTACAGAGCATGACAATGTTTACACTCTGTCGCCTATTCAACAGGGTACCCTATTCCATAGTAAACAATGAAAATGCAGAAGGAAACTCTGTCTGCATCAGCCCATGTCAGCATCTGGGTAACCTCTCAGGGTGGAGACCTTGCACAGATGTTGAGCATGTCATGAAAAATGGGAGAGGCCACAAAGAATTCTTAGAATTAAATCTGGTCTGCCTCTCCTCACCTCCTGTTTGGCCATATCCTCTGAGAGACGAGCTAGAACTTTTCCAAATGTATTGTTTGGGTGGTGAGCAGCATAATTAAACCAAGTTGTTCCTGCTGGTTGATTAACTTTTATTCCTCCCACTCTGGAGAAATTTCTTCACATTTTGTGAGTGGTTTTGTTCACACTAAGACAACACTGTTCCTTTCAGAGGTGAGGACAAAGAAATATCTTGTGAAGATCTTCTCACTGTTGCTGTTCATCATACCTTATTCCAGCAACAAACTGCTCCTATAAGTGTTGACTATGGCGTAGAGCCCCTGGCAGGGACAGTATCAAGGAGAGGTATGACTGGGCACCTGCCAGGGGTCCACCTGCAGCTCTGGCAAGAACCCCTGGCATGCTCCTCCTTTTCATCTCTGCGAGCAGCTTGTCCACTTGCCTCTCTCTCTGGCCTATGCAGCACTGATGGTAAGAAGTGGGAGCAGTAGATGCCACTGCAGCTCACTGGCTCCTGGAGAAAGAGGAAGAGCTGCTGATGCCAATGATGCTCAGAAGGTGGCCTCACTGACAGAGAAGTGTTGTGAAGCCAGCACTTCTGTGGTACTGCTCCTCTTTCCAGTGAGGTGACTATAGTCCCTACCCATCTGGGGGTCTCATTCCCCTTCTCCTACAGATGGCATAGGAAAGAGGGCAAGGATAATCCGCTGCATACCTCCCCCCCCGCCCCCCGCTGGTATGGATGTGCTATGGTAGGAAGCTAGATAAAAGCTCCTCTAAGAGTTGCCTTCTGCAGTGTGAAAGGAGTGCTGCAATTCCACATGGAAGCCCAACAGACCTCTTTTTCTCCTGGGTGGGGGCAGGGGACAGGAAAAGTTAAACTTCCACAGGATCCACACCAGTGCTGCAGACATAGGCACAGCCAATCATCCTTGTCCCTTGTGTAAGCTTCCTCCTAAGAGGGCAAGTGTGCTTTTGGAAATGTGCGTGAGGAGGAACACCTCGGAGGATGTAATGCTCAGGTTCAAGGGAGGGGGTCACAGCCACTTCACTGCTGGCATCTGCACCTGGCAACCTGCAAGAGTGCCATGGTATCTGATGCCCACCCAGCTGCCTTCTCCCTAAATTATATTTTTTATTTTTTTGGCCCATTGCTCCCAGTAGTGGCAGGCAGCTGGATCTAGCCACCTTTTCAGTTTCCTATAGTGTCTTTGACCTAGCATCACTCTGGGACATTGTGTGGATTGTAAAGGGTAGCCCCCTCCCCCGAAGACACATTTTGCACACCCCCTTTCCAAATCTAGAGCCTGACCTGTCTCTTACCTTTGGTGGCTGACTCATTGGTCACTGTTTTAGAAGACTGCAGGCTAAAGTGATTTGGCTGAAATTGAGGGAAGTGCTGAAATGAAGCCAGCTGATTTTGTTACGATCTTCCTTACATCTTCTCCTATAATTCAAACACTGGGGAAGATGATTTGGAGCAAATTTGGAAATGGTGAGAAGGAAAGACCTAAGTCTCCCCTCTCTTTCCCTTCTCTAATTTATAACTCCCCTTTCCCCAGGTGACTTTTCAGGATGTGGCCTTTGGAAGCCTGGTGCACAGATCCAGTTACACCCCCTGTCCATACCGGCCAGGTGTCTATACAACGTTGTGGCAGTTAGTGGTCTTCTGCAGGCTCTCAGCTTATCCAGACTTCCAGGCAGAATACGAAAATCTGGGCTGTGGAATTGATCGAGGATGGTTATCATTTTAACCTGTGTTGCCATCTTGTTATATTAAGTTTTAAGTTGCATTTTTAAGGAGTTAACATTTTGTAAACTGTCCAGAAAGCTTTGGCTATGGAATGCTAGAGGTGAGGAGGAGGAGGATCAGTTCTGAATTGCCCATTCAAAAACAAGCCACCCCAAAGGCTCCTACAAATGTTGCAACATGGAACAAGATAGTGTTGCAGGAAGAACTGATTTCTTCCCAGGCACTGTAAGGATTGCAGCTCCGGCTAGAGGAACAGGCACAAGACATTCCTGCTGATAAAAGAAGGGTAGGCATCGCAAGCCTGAGACCCCTGGCTCCACTGCACCCAGTCAGGACCATGAACACTTCCTGGGGGTGCAACCCTATTGGCTGAGCCCCTGAACTTGGAGACTCAGGGGCATCCAGAGCAGAGAGGGAGGGGTGGTAGAGCCTGTGCCGCCATCCATCCCACCCTGTAATTAAGCCAGGCAGCCAATTTAGGCCGTCTACTTGTGGTACTTTGAAGGACAAGGAAAAGAGGTTGGAGCACTGCCAGGTTACAACACATCCTGACAGTCCCAAGATCTTCCTCTCCTGGTCCATTTTACTCCTCTCTCAGAGGAGCAGTCAACACAGATTTCTCTGCTCCAGCTCCAAGGTGGGGAGGGGAATAAGAGTATGGTCCCCAGCCACGAAGCTTCTGACTTGCCCAAGGGCCAGTAAAATTAATTTATATTATTTATATTATATTATTTATACTGTCCAAGGGCCAGTAAAATTAATTTATATTATTTTATGGAAGTTTATTTATGGATGTGAGACGCCCCGAGGCTTCAGCGAATGGGGCGGCATAGAAGTCTCCTAAATAAATAAATAAATTCTGGCCTAGATCTGACTGTCTTCTATTTCTCTCCTAGGAAAGGACTGTGGTGGCATTTTCACAGATTCAAAGCACATCTTTAAAACCCCCAGGTTCCCACATGAGTATGAGAATGACCAAGTCTGTTACTGGCATATCAGAGTGAAGTACGGCCAGCGGATTCAAATTCAGTTTCTTGACTTTGACCTCGAAGAGGATACAGCCTGCATGGCTGATTACTTGGAAATCTACGACAGCTACGATGATGTCAATGGCTTTGTCGGCAGGTAAGATCATCTTCACACCATGTTTACATGCTATAGGATCATATGAACTGCCTCCAGGAAAGATAGGGAAAAAGGCCTCACCAATTATTTATTAGGATGGGTTTATCCCACCCAGTCTCAGAGGTTCTAAGCAATAACAGCCTGTTTGCACACACACAAGCCAAACAATAAGTGTTAATAGACAAACACTATTTCCTTGACTTTTTCCAAGTCCGCTTATCCAAGCCTACTTCTTTGTCTCTCTCCCAGGGGAGCCCCTTTCTTGGACACACTCCTGGCATCCTTCCAGACGTATGACCACTGCTCACAGGAAGGGTGTCGCAATCCCTAATTAATCCCCACCCAACTCCTGACTCTGCCTTGCCTCCAAAATATTACCATGGAAACCAAATCCATCACATCCCTTCCCCCTCTCTTAACTCTCATTCAGCCTATAGCTCAGCTTTTCCCAAACCGGAGCCATCCATTGCCTGCAGGCTAGTAAGCTGCAGTTTCTAACACATCTGGAAAGCAACAAGCAGCGAGGGCTGGCTTAACTCACCTCCCACAGTTCTGCCTACCTGTAATCTTCTTAAACTCTCCCTACTTCAGCAATCCACATTTTGAAAGTGACCTTTCGCAATCTATGAGGTCCAATCATATTCAAGGGGGAGAACTAAGCAACACTGCAACCCGCCCCCCCCCAAATGGATAGCAGCCTTCCATGGGCAGGGTGGATGGGTGAGGATGCATTCTGTGGCTCCTGGAAATTTCGGTAGGCAGGCAGTGGTGCTCTGAGATAATGTTAGGCTCTGGACTTAATAGCATTGCAGTCTTCTTTTTTCTTATTTTCCAGCATGCCATGTTTTATTTCAGAAACCCAGGGAAGTGTGCTATTTCCTCTCTGTACTGATGGGATTCTCTTTTGCTCAGGAACTTACTGGGTGTCACACATAAATGTGCATAATTCCTAGCAGTGAGGATTTAGTGGTAAACTTTGAACTGCAGGTGTTCATTGTGACAATCTCCATAGCACATCCCCAAGAAGACCCAAAAATGTGGGCAGCTGTGTTGATGCTTATCCACAAATCAGTTTTAGCAAATTTCATCTCCATCAGAAAAAGCAAATGGATTTTAATTACCCATTTATGATCAAAGCACTGCAAAATACTTTGCTCTACAACAGAGAACAAAACATTGGTGCTCTGAAAATTCTCCCCCCCCCCCCACCCCGCTCCTTCAGTTACTAGGAGTTTTTGCAAATAAGCTTAGTGGGAACAGGGAATTCTGAGGGTGACTGGCTTTCAAAAACCCCATAAGCCACACTCAGGAGTTGAGTATGGCTTGAGTGTGGGTTGCTGATGAAACATGGATTATCAGGTTGCCTGAACCCAGCCTAGGTAACGAGCTATGAAGAGCAACCCAAAGACCACAACTCAGCAACAAACCAGAGGTTCTCTTCATGGGTTGTTCATGAGTAACAAGCTAATGCTTGTTCATGCAGCTGGGTTCAAACAACAGAGTAATGCACATTTTATTAACGATCCACACACAACCCAGAATGTGGATTTTCAATTTGTGTTTGAATAAGGAATGGCAGCAACTCTGCTAATCAAAATTGCTGGTGCTGTGTCCTTGCAAGCCCTGACTCTGCTAGTTTTTGGAAACAAAAACTAGCCAGTATAGAGATTTGGAGCAGAAAAGCACTGCTCTACCCACTCCATGCTCATTATTTCCCTGTTTTAATTCACCTCAGTCCCTGGCTACTTTTCTCACTTAGCCGCACATGGCTATAGGTGTGAGCTTCAATAAACACACATCTAGAAATCCATGGGGCATATGTAGCTAAGGTGAGCCATTGGGAGAACAGAAACAGAAGATGGGGAGAGAGTTAACTACCTCTTCCTGCTACCACTCCTCCATTATAAATTTTCCTCTCCCAGAACTTATTTGTCTTTCAAAAGGGGGTGTTGATGCTTTTTAAAACTTGGAATATGAGTCATTAATGTATTTCCCATGCAGAGCTTACTCAGCTGCCAGAGTGACAAGCAGCATGGCATCTCTTTGCTTTCTTCATTTTACATGCTGAACCTAAAACCATCCTTAAAAGATCCTTACTTGCACCAAACACAGCTCATCTACTGAGGACAATTCAAGTTCTATTTAGAACTTTTGACTAATTTGCTAACTAGAACTCCAGCACAGGAGTTACTTCTGCATGGCTGAGTCTCACGCTGTGATTACAGGCACAGCACAGAATGGGTGGACGACATGGTCATTTCATTTTCCTCCTCATGTGGTTAGCAGCATGCAATCCCAGTTTCCTACACCAACAAAGTTGCATCTGGGCTCACTCTCCATGATAGTCCAGTTGATGTAATTTCAAACTGCTTCACTGAAACAAAATATTCATCCACTGATATTTAACCAATAAATTGGGGTTGTGTTTTTCAGATACTGTGGAGACGAACTTCCAGATAACATCATTAGCACAGGTAATACTATATGCATGTACAACATGTGCCATAGGAAAAAAATCCCAAGTTTACTCTCCGGTAGTTCTGCCTAAAAGAATTTGCTATCCAGAGAGGTCACCACAAAGGCCCACATCTATTAATTTCTTCAGACAACATCTGTCTTTATGTTACGCTCACATCACTGTGGTTGAAGTGTCATGAACTTACCTTCCATAAGCCTAAATGTAATGTCACATAAGTAGGCTTCCACTTGTACAGCAGCACTTCCCCTTGCTCTCTTCCTTCCTGCAGCCCTTCTCACATCCTCCCAAATCTGCTCTAGTGGATCCACCCCCCACAACTTTCTGGAACAGGTCTTTAGCACATGTAGGAAGCTTCAGAAAACAGTTTAGCCAATGGTCTGTATTCCGTTAGTAGGTGAAGAGGATTCAGTACAATTTCCCAGCATATTTCACATGCTAGACAATGTTTATTTTGATATTATCCTTGACTGTAATGTGTTTTGGAAGAAATGGAGAAAAGGGAAATTCTGGAGAGCTTTTCCTTGGGTGCCAATAAATGGAAATTAATCTCTCTCTCTCTCTTTCTCTCTTCTCCAATCTAGGAAATGTCATGACTCTGAAATTTTTGTCAGATGCTTCAGTAACAGCAGGGGGCTTCCAGATTAAATATATTGCCTTAGACCCACCCAAGAAAAATGCAACTACCCAAGACAACACAAACTATTTGGTTGGGAGATTTGGCATCGTATAAAAGAACATGAACAAGAGGGAAAATATTTACCCTGAATGCCCATTCAGGGTAGATTCTCCCCCAGCCCAGTATCTCTTGCTGAAGCTGATCTCTTTGCCACTGTGGAACTGTGATTTCTCATAACTTCCTGGCTGTGATCACCTTCTACTGCAATATCTTCTCTTCATGGATCTCTAGCAGCCACATGCGCCTTCTGTGTGATTATGTTCCCCAACATGTGAATTCTTCCTTGACTTATTTCCACTCCCTGCCTGCCACTGCGAATGCTGCCTTGCTTGGAATACGCTGGTTATAGGTTCTTTAGCCAACATTCCAGGGCCTTTCCAGTGACTATGCAAATCCTGCTTTCAGAAGTGCTCCTTCTTAGCCACTTTGAACTGTATGCAATGATGATTTCCTTGAGCCAGAATATTATGAAGAAACGTTTACTATAATAAGTGTGCTGCATTTTATGTATGATTCTATTTTTAGATAATAAATATTTAACAAACCTTGAGATCAGTTCTTTTTCCCTTTATTTTTTTCTGAGATCATTTTGTTTCAAAATGGCGTAACTGCATTTATCATCATTGTCACCAGTCACAACTCTAACTACATGTTTATAGCCACTTATTTCAGAGTATAGACTAATCTGCAGTGGTCATGTTTAAGATGAAACAATAAAAATGTTTCTCTAACTCTCGGAACAACTGTAAATTGGCCACCAGCACCAATTGGTCCAGGGGCATCAAGTATGGGAGACTTCCGAAAGGAGATGATCAACAGCCAAACTTCTGAAACCAAAAGGGCCATACCTCCAGGGTCCAGCACCTACTGTGCATGTAACAGGTCCCAGGTTCACTGCCTGGCATATTCAAGTAGGGCTCAGAAAGCCACCTCACTCAGAAGTCCTAGAAAACTGCTGTGAGTATATTAAAAAAAACAAAACAAAACTAAGATGGGCATAGCCATGACCTGGCTTGTTATGAGCTGGCTTCCTTTGTTCCTACCAAGAACTGACATTGCAAGAAGCGGTCTTCTTAATCTTTGGTAACAAAGGCTATGAAATGTTCTAAAGGGGCTTGAAGCTTTCTACAATCATCCTCATCATATAGTTATTGATAATAGAAGATGCCTGTCCATATTTCCAGGCTATCAAATGCAGACATAGGAAACTTGGCAAGGCAAGCCTAGGGTGTATACCTTGAGTTTATTTAGGTTTTAAAACACATTATTTCATGTGTGTGTGTGTGTGTGCGCGCGCGCGCGCGAAGTCTGCAGTGCCACCTTCTCTCACTGGGTGGCCGACATCCTTAACCAGAACATGGCAGTCACACAGTTCCAAGCAGCCCTGGGAGTTTTCCAAGGAAAGTTATGTGGCCACTACCTCCTCACTGCCATGGGGCATGAAGAGGGCAGACCATTCCCCCAGGGTCTATGGGTGTATGTCATGGAGCAGTTGTGCTTGGTGGAGGGGCAGCGGCAAGCATGGTTTACTCCAGCATGATGGCACAATGTGCTCAACTCTAACAGCTGCACATCCCTGCTTGAAAGCATTGCCAAACTAAGGATTTTGCAATCCATGCAGAGCCACGTCCTTTCACTAGCCCATCATAAAGTGCAGACTCCTATCTGCAACCCACAGGTGGGGAGAAAGCTATAGGGAGAGGTTTCTTGCAATGGGAAAGCATCAGAGGTGGAAAGGTTAAACACCCTCTTAACCCCAATCTCACAACCTTTCTGCTACAAATTACTTCCTGCCAAGCTCTTTCTGTTGGAAGCAGCAGCCTCTGGCTACTAAATATATGTATATTTATATGCAAGCTGTGACTTGGACCTTAGATGTTCAATTATAAGAACCGAATTGACAGATTGCGGCTAATATGACTGAACTCTGCCATCTGGTGGCCTCAATGAGATCCATCTAACGACAGTTGGGTAGCCATAGCTGGGAATAGGTCTGAAGCCTTTCTAGGGAGGTAAACTCATCCAGTGCATAGAAGTGTGGCTGAAGTGTAAATGATCTGGTATTTCTTATGAAATGCTAGCCATACTTGAGTTCTAAAAGTGATTATTACTTAATAAAGATTACTGTAATAACCACAAATAGGCAATAATTCACGGGTGTTCAAGCATCCAAGGGCTTGCAAACTCAAGATCTGACTATCTCTTCTAGCTGAATTTATTGGCGTTTCACCAGTCTAAACTCATGGCCTTCCAGATGTTCATCACGGAAACGCCCATTGGCTATACTGGCAAGGCCTACTGGGATATCTGTTAAATCTGTTAACAATATCTGCCCACTTTAAATGAAACAGTTCAGGAAACACATGTACATGGTCCAGCTGGTAACAATCAAAATACTCCAGTTAAGTACATAGGTGTCTTTATTTATTTATTTGAAACATTTATATGCCGTCCTTCACTATCACGTCTCAGGATGGCTTGCAGGATTAAAACCAACAGACATAAAAACAATCAATAAAACAGTACAATAAAATTACTATAAACCAATACAGATAAATCAAATCAAAAGCAACTGTGAACCACTAAAATGCTAATTTTTAAAATAATGATTAAATAAAAAGGTTTTGGCCTGGTGCGGAAAAGAGTATAAACTTATTCAATTCAGAGGTAGCATCTAAAGATGCTACAAAACAAACATCTGTTAGCATCCTATTGATAGCCTTAACTGCTACCAGTGTGACCCCACCCCCACCTCCCAATGCTCTTAAGACTTCATTCTTAATTTAATGAATGAATAACATTCTTATTTAATGTTGTGAGCCGCCCCAAGGCTTCGGCGAATGGGGCGGCATAAAAATGTTTTAATAAATAAATAAATAAATTCTCCATAACTGCAGAGAAGACAACATAAGACTAGGATTTATCAACCTCCCACAGGTCTTATCTCCATGCCTCTCTGCTCCTAGGACTTTTGTAGGTTAGCCATAACAGATATTAAAGAATGAAGTGTGAAAGGACCTGTAGCCTCTGTGAGGTATGTGACATCCTGTGCAAAACATGATATAATCTCTACATCCCTCCAAGGCCTTTTAGCTTCATAATTGCCTTTTGTCTTTAATTTACTGGGCATGTTCAGATACAATGCAAAAGAGTATTATGAGCTTAGATGACCTTCAGGATAACATTCTTCTCACTTCTTCTCCAATATTGTTGTTGTTGTTGTTAGTCGTGAATTCGTGTCGGACCCATCACGACCCCATGGACAACATTCCTCCAGGCCTTCCTGTCCTCCACCATCCCCCAGAGTCCACTCAAGCTCACGCCGACTGCTTCAGTGACTCCATCCAGCCACCTCATCCTCTGCCATCCCTTCCTTCTTTTGCCATCTATTGTTCCCAGCATTAGGCTCTTCTCCGGGGAGTCCTTCCTTCTCATTAGGTGGCCACAGTATTTGAGTTTCATCTTCAGTATCTGGCCTTCTAAAGAGCAGTCAGGGCTGATCTCCTCTAGGACTGACTGGTTTGATCGCCTTGCGGTCCAAGGGACTCACAGGAGTCTCCTCCAGCACCACAATTCAAAGGCCTCGGTTCTTTGGCGCTCAGTCTTCCTTATGGTCCAGCTTTCACAGCCATACATTGCAACTGGGAAACTCATAGCCTTGACTATATGCACTTTTGTTGACAGGGTGATGTCTCTGCTTTTTAGTATATAGTTATGAGCAGATCAGCAGCATTTACTTCCATTCTAAATCAACTGCAGTTTGGCAGTGAAAATAAGCCAGCTTCTGATATCGGTTTCCATTAATCAAGATTAACCATGGTTTAGATGGAACATCAAGCTGTAGTTAATCTAAAATGGAAGTGAAATCTTTCAAACTCAACCTTGCCTCCACACCAGAAGAGAGGGAAGGGCAGAGTGCACAAACCCAATACTAACCTCAGCTTGCTTGTTGTAATGCCAATGTGCTTTAGCATTACAAAAACAAATGAGATTAGCCTGTCCTTTGGCAGTATACTGGAACCATCCCCTTGCTCATGCTAAGACCTGCTAATGAATTGTAAGGTTTCCTTTTACGTTTTGCGTCTGTAGCATCCTCATCCAGCTACTAAGACCACATAGGTGCTTAACTGAAGAGACTTCTATCAGATAAATTCTATCTTGCCATAGTCCTTGTTTTTTTTTTCTTACCCATGATGCAGTTGCTTCTCTACCTTGAATTAATCCCCAGTTCTGCCATTTGTGATCTGGCAATAAAAGAGAACCGGTTCTGCCAATTGTGCATCTCAATCCTAACCACATTTACCTCAAAATGTGTCTCACCAGGCTTTTTGATGACATTTACTTCCTCCTGCCTCCCAAGGGTCACTGCATGTTTCTATGCATCTTTACTCAAGTTATTCAAATTTATTCAACAGGGTTTACAGCTCAGTTAGGACACAAAGGTATAATAAGGATCTTTCAAGCATAATAAAATCAGAAGTGTGGCCTGCAGACTAATCTTGTTGGTTCCCATTATTTCTGCATGCTGTGAAATGAGGAGGTGTGGGGAGAACATGTAGCCTTCCGGATGTTTTTATTGTAATGGCCACCCAAAGGGCATAATGCTAACAGGAGGCTTTTATACAAATTTAATAAATGTGGAACTGTAACTCCTATAAGGTCCAGACTGCATGGCTAACAATGAGAGATGACCAGAGTTGCAGTTCAGCCATCTCTGGAGGACCACACCTCCCTAGTCCCTGAAATAAACTCATTTCACTAAAAGCTTAAGTTCTCTGGATGGTTTATGAAGGTGGGATTTATTGCTGTTACGTGCTGTCAACTCGTCTGCAAATTATGGTATCCCCATGAAAGCCCTTCAAAATGTCGTGTCCTTGGCAACCTTGCTCAGCTCTATTTCTCAGGCTTCTTTTTTGGAATCAATCTATCTCATAATGGTTTCTCCTCTTCTTCTCCTGCCTTCGACTTTCCCAAGCAACGAAAATTAATACATTATTAAAAACAAAACGAACATATAAGCATACGATAACCATGCATATATTTAGAAACCATTGTAATCTGAATGAAAGGATGACTATTAACGTAGTCTTCCCCAATCTAGCCTTCTGGACTTCATCTCCCATCAGCCCAAGCATGGGCAATGGTCTTGAGTGCTGACCAGGCACCACATTGAGGAAAGCTGCTTTTAACTCTTCTGTTATTTTCGCCAGGAGTCATCCCAAGGAAGCAAGAGGAAGAACGCAATGGCGGGCCCGGAGGCCGCCCACTTCGCCCCCGCGCGCACTCCGCTCGCACAAGGGCGAAGGCGACGCGGGATCTCGCTCGGCCGCCGGCGGGGGCGGGCGCGGGCGCGATCGATGATTCGGCATCGCGCGTCTCTGGAGAAAGGCGGGGGCAGGGCCTAGAGCTCAGGTCGGCTGAAGAGGCCCGGCGTGCTCGATGTTTCGGCGCCCGGCATCAGTCCCCGCCTACCAACGCTCTCCTCGCGCGTTGATTGGGCAGGAGCGAGGCCCAGGGCACCGCGTCCCGCGCTTCGCCATCTTTGCCCGGGAGAAAAGGATCCCGAGCGCGGGAACTGTAGTTGCGCGAGCAGGCGGCGGAGAGGCGGTCGGGCAGGTGCCAGAGGCGGACGGGGGCAAGTGCGCCGTGGTCCCTCGGCGCTCCGGCCGACGGGGATGATGAGCGGCGCTGACTCCACCACGGGGCCCGGGCCCGGCTCGAGCCTGCTGCCTCTGCTGGAGACCCTGGAAGACCCCCTCGCTTCGCCGGAGATGCTGACAGACGCGCTCCTTACCGTCACGAAGTGAGTTCCCCAGTCGCCCCTTCCACAGTCGCCTTGGGCGGGAGGCTGGCTGGCCGGCCGGCCCTCGTGCAAACATGCAAAAAATAAGCGAATCTTTAGTTTTGAGTCTTGGCTTCACGCTAGTACTTCTTTTTGGTACTGCATTTCAGTCCCTAGAGAGCCCTTTTCCCAAATGAAAGTTTGGGGAAACTGGCTACCTCTGAGCATATGTTGAGTGATTATTCTGCACCAGTGTGTAGGCCGCAGCCCTCATTGATCAGGCCGGTAAGTTCCAAATCTGCTGCGCTTCTTTTTCTAGCGTTTCTCGCCCCCAACAGCTGCTATATAGGCTGGCCTTTATTTTATTTCTTAAATCGTTGGTTAGGTTTCTGTGGGTTTTTCCAGACATAATGCTGGTTGTCCATTGAGAAATTTCAGGTGAGCTAACTCACATGATGGGTAAGATATGCCTGTTAAATTTCTGCCTCTGCACAAGTATTCTCCTGAAAGCACACTCTACAGTCTTCTATTTTTAGAAGTTGTTGTAGGGTGTAGAAATTCTCTTCCTTTGAAGACTAGATGAGAGAGATGCATTGTATATGCATCAAGGTTCAGGGATAATGCAAGCTGCAGTCAAACAACATCTGGAGGCTGCAGGTTCCTAGTGCATGTCTGTGGTCTAAGACCACACATTTTTGTTCCTACATGCATTTTAATGTATTACCTGGATGTAAAGTAGCTTTCCAGCAACTACAATTAATATAGGCTGAAAGGTTTAATCTCATTGCAGTTGGTGCATACAGGTTTTAAGTGCTTTGCAGTTGTAAACGGGCTGCACTTGGCCTTCTTTTTGCAGAGGGTGCATTTGCAGTAGCGTTTTTCAGAGAATGCTGTTAGGCCACTTTAAGGTGGAGTCACTAATGAGTGCTTAGTTTTCAGATTTGCTTTGGGTAAATATCATGGTCATCTTGTCTTTTCTCCCACCTTCCATATGTGTAAACTGCTATTTTTTAGTCTACTTGAGAAATCTTTTTTTAGTTGTAAAGTAGATTGATTTTTGGAAAGAACTTCACTTCAAGTACCAAGATAGGACTTTCCCTGCCAGTGCATCTAAAAATATATTTATAGAGAGTTTGTTACAGATCATAAGATTAATTTGTTGGTAGTGAATATACAATTTTCCAGTAAAATGAGTACTGTTATGCTCTTAATGAATAGAAGTAAAATGTTATCACAACAGACTGAATGAGTGCGGTGTCATGCTTGTCCATTGTTGAAACCTCTGAGTGCATGCACACTGAATACTACTGTGTGCTACTTAGAGCTTATATCTGTAGAGGTTAGGCTATGCTCTATCAAAGTTAGAGAGTAAGTGTTGCTTCCCAATATAGTGCTTTATTCAACAACACATTATTTAAAAACTGTAATTCCAGTAGCAATACAAAACAATAGGAACAGTAAGATAGAGTAGCATATGGGTAATTGGGTTTAATTACAAGCTGAAAACGCCTGGCTGAAACAGTGCTTTCTCATGAGGTATTTGAAAAATGTGAATTTTCTGCCTCTGAAACTGCACAGGGGAGGGTTTTCCAGAGGATGGGTGCAGCCACTAAGAAGGTTAGATGGATCAGTAGAATTGCTCTAAGACTCCTTGTTGTGTTCTAACAACTTTAAACAGACAGGTGTGGGAGTTACAGGGTTTATTTTGGAAGTCTGAGGACACAACAGGAGTCTGTGAGTTGGAAGGCAAATGTGCTCACATACTGCATGTTTTCCACATCTGAGCAAAGGTATTTACCAAATTTCTTGGCCATGTAAGTTGGGTTGATTAATGGAAAACCTGGTGATTTTTTTTTTCTATGTCAAGTCGTCTGACTGGTGAGGAAGGACAAGAATTTGCAGTTGAAGTTGGAAAGTACTTCCCTCAACTCTACAAAATATTCAAGGTGTGTACTTAAACTTATATGTCCAACACTTGTAACAGCATATGTCCTACTGTATTTTCAGTAGGCATGCCATTGCCCTTCCCCTCTTTTATTATCATTTACCCACTGCCACACTTTCATTTTTGCTCCTTCTGCAGTGATTGCTACCTCTGCATTCACAGTGGCCATGTATCTTACAGTACTAAACTTGTAGCAGGCATTTTATTTTCATGATACATATAGTTGGGAAATGGTGTTAGACCCTCATCCAGAGAAGTGTGCATGTACATCTTTAGAGGGGCTTTTCTTCACAACTCCGCATGAGTCCGAAGCTGCTACAGACATCTTTTTCTAGTGTGTGAAAGAGGCTGCTTTGATGAGGCCGCTTTTCCCTGAAATTGAGGCTGCAAGAAAACCTTTATGACCTGTTGTACAAGTTCAGATCTGTATATATTTGTAAAAGGGTTTAATGTAGTATCTAAATTGATTTTGTGTTGTAATTAATGTGTTTCTCTAGTTTTCCTTAGAAGAAAACCAGCAAAAACAAAACAAAGATTTGTGGCACTTTAAACAGCAGCAAGCTCATTTAAGCATAACCTTTGATAGGCAAGGTCTGCATCAGATGCATGAAGTGTTAACTTCAAATTAACTGTTCTCTATGCACATGCTGGGCACTGGGGTGCATGTAAACTGTGGTGTTAAACAATTGAAATGCAAAAAAGACAAAGATGATTATCTTAATGGTTGCTATTCATAAGATTCCTTGTAGGGTGATAACAAAGATAGGCGTGGTGTCCTGAGTTAGCATATGAACTGTGATTTATATTGTCCTTATTCAACAACAGGAAATGGAATTGAATCTCATTTCTGGTTGGTGAGTTACTTGTTGGAGAAAATTTGCCCCTCTAAAGTACACAACCAAACTATCCTTTTCTTCCTTTATATACCCACAGGATACAATTCTATGATGACCAAGATACTTTTTTGTTGTTGTCTGTGACACAAGTCATACTTCTACCATGGTACCAATCAATGTATCAGCATACAGCTGCCATCTTCCCAGTACAGCCCTCTGGCCATACAGCAAAGAGCCTCCCAAAGATAAAGTAGGATTCAGTATGGGTCTCTCTAGATGGTCATAACACTGGGTTGTATTTTTTGCATAAAATCATGCTGAGCTAATTAGCAAGCAGCATCCTCTGCCATACAATTTCAGCTGTGCAAAACATGATGCCACCCATAGACAGAATGCAGAAATAATCATGTAAAGGTCTGACAAGGAATGCATTATCATCATTAGGCATCTCGTCTGAAGGCAATGAACTGTAAAGAAGATGGCATTTTGTGGGAGATCATAGCTTCCTTCAGGAAGTCAGTGCTATCCCTTATGTATCTTCAAGTATTGGTGGCAGTTGTTCTGGTTATGGATTTTATGCAGCCAAGGAGTGCAGAACCTCCAGCCCAAAGAGCACCCCAGTGTGGCTGTCGAGATCCATTACACCAACATATCCCATAAAGATGGATTACAGCTATTAAGAATATCCGTGCACATGGGACATAACATGTCTAGCAGCCAAACTCTTGTCATGTTGTAGTCACACACAGTTTCCTTAGTGTTGGAGTGAATATACGTGTTCAGATTAGTGGCACTGCTTTGAGAATCCTTATTGCCTCATAGCATGCCAACATCATAGAACCAGTGGGCTGGGACACAGGAGATCGAAGTTCTAGTTCCCTATTCAGCCATGACTTGCGCTGCATGACTTTGGTTTCTCAAGCTAACTTACCCCACAAGGGTGGTGGTTGTGAGGATAAAATAAGAGAACCTTGTAAGCCCCCATGAATTCCTTGCAAAATAGATAAAAGCAGTGTATAAATGCAATTGAAATCATTATCATGGCTGATTTGAAACAATGCTTTCTCAGCTCATGTCCTCAAAAGCCACTTTTCAGCTGAGATTCATTGATATTTTTGTAATCTGGACACACAGATTCAAGGTCCTGATGAAATTCTGTTAGGAATTAGGTAACTTTTACAGTACTATCAATCTGATGCTGGAACAGTCATAGGAACCTAGGAAGCTGTCATACACTGCCAGAGTTGTTCAATGACAGACACATCTGATATGGGGATGTTTAGAACCCAGGGCACTCTGCCAATGACATGAATGTGGCCATTCTTGAGCAAAGAATTTCCAATCACTATGTGAAATTGAAGCTCAGTGAGTAATTCAATTATTCTTTCCTATGGTATGAGCAAGGACACTTTTTGTTTAAAAAAAAAAAAGACCTCACACTGCATATATTGATTGACTTGCCATTGCAATAATTCCAGTCACAAAATGTCGCTGGACACAGTATGGTAATCACATCACTGTACCCCTTTGCATTTTGGATTAGCACTCCATGCATCTGGTGATGAAGTCAATGTTCTTTAAAGTTTAGATCAGAATAAATATTTAATCTTTAAGATATTATGAGAGCCCTTGTCTTTGCTGCAACAGAGGCTACCTCTCTAGAAATTAATATTAATCTGGGCTGTTGTGTAGATCAAAGAAGTGTTGCAAAACTCATGTGTCTGAATTTAGCATCTAATATTTTAAAAATCAAGATTAGGTATCCACTTATAACTAATTAGAAGTTGACATCACTTTTACATCTTGAACAATTCAAGTAATTATTAATAAGTTTTTGTTACATGACGTCACACTTTTCTTCCATTTCTCTTCTAGACATACATTCCTACAGAAAACTCAGAATTGAGCAGTGCAGCTTTACAAGCTTTAGGATTCTGTGTATTTCACTCAAAGATTGCTTCATTGCTATCTGGTAAGCATTTGTTTACCTATTTGACAATGGTTTAATCTATATTTAATCTAAATTCAGCCCCCTTTTTGCATTATTATTAAATATATAGAAATGATTTCATCTCAAGTTAATGTAGCTATAAAAGACATGTGATATAGTAATGTATAACTTGTTTTCAGCAGGTTCTTTGGTGCTCTGGCTGAGTGTCAAAATGTATGTGATACTCTTGAATAATCTATCAATAATAGTGATTCTTGGGGGGGGGGGGGGTCAAGGAGTACTTTAAAAGGTACTAGATCCATAGCCAAGGTGGAAACTGGAGGGGAAGGACTAGTTTAAACCATATCCATTTTGAGGAAATTCTGTTTTTATATTCTTAAATAGGGCAAATAGTGTGCAGTGATGATAATTGGAGTAACAGCTGCTAAAAAAATACTTTTTTCTTCTAGAAGTTGAAATACAAGAGTTGCTTTCAATAGTGAGCAGTGTTGCTGTAAAGATGGTGGACAAAAATACTCGCACTAGAGCACTTTGGGTGATCTCTAAGCAGTCCTTTCCTCCTGATATTGTTGGGAAACTGGTGAGTGTCTTCTGTTCATCTTTTATAAACAAATTTTGTTAAAATACCTGGTTCAATTACCCATGGCTCACTTGTTTTCCAGGTACCCAGTATTATTGCTATGTTAGAAACAGTACTTAAAGGAGAACTACATTCCATGGTGGTTGAATATGAAGCACTAAATGTTATCATACGGTATGTGTTGCATGTTAAAATGTTAAGCAGATCACTCAGTAACATTGTGATCTGTTTACCCTATAAAATCAGACTGTGTGTCATTGTTAGTATATTTGTAATGAATGCTCGACCACACTTGTGCTTTTTGCCAGTCATTTATTTCACTTCTTTTATATAAACCCATAAAATAATAATGGCCCCAGTAGGGTTGTAGGAATTACAAGCCGAGGTAGCAGCAGTTGGCCAGCCCACCTAGAGCTATATAATAAGGCAGGCTCACATGGGAGCGAGCTTTGCAAGCACAGGGCACCGCAGTGACGAAACCTATTAGCCACAGTGACAAAGCAGCAGCCTGCAAATGTGTTGAGCAACAAGGCTGAGGAGGCCACAGCATGGGAGTTTGCTCCCTTTTCTAGTCAGGAGGGTAAAGTGCAAAGAATCACTGAAAAGTAAAACCACTGCCCTTTCCCAATAGTATAAACAAACTTGATAGAACCCAGATTCCCCATGGATTTTCAGGTAAAAATGCATTTATACCAATTAAACCAATCGTGAAAGCCAGGAGGTATGTGGGGACTATCCAGGGTATAGCACTGAGTACCACGTGCATGACTATCCTCCAACTGGACACAAGTCGTGTGTGTGCTCAGTGTAATGAGCTCTTGGCTTTTCATTCCTTTGAAGCCAAGGTTGTTGACCTAGACAAGCAGAGAGGGGTAGACAGGTTGAGTGATGAGATGCCCGAAGAGCAATTAGCAGGGTCCCAACTCTGTGGTCATGGAGAAAGGGGTGTCATTCTGGGGAAGAGTGAAATGTTCCTTTAGAAGGGACCCATTCCTTGGAAGGTGAGTGTGTATCTGCTCACACTGAGGATATCCCTCTGGGAGGGGGTGCTTAATCATTAGGAACATAGAAAGCTGGATTGTGATGGTGTGTGGGTTGCATGGTGGGTTGCCTTCTTGGTGCAGATACCACATGGATTAAGGGAATTGCCCAAGTGTAAGAGGGGAAGGCAGCAAGGTTACACTAAGCCATGATAACCAGTTGGAGAGGACAAAGTACCAGAACACTTGTTGCATAGAAGGGAATAGTGTGCTTAGGTGCTTCTGTTTCATTTGAAGCCTTCGGGCCAAAATGTGAGAGCTGGAATGCCTGGTGATAAAGGAGAAGCTAGATATAGTAGGCATTATGGAAACTTGATAAAGTAGAGATAACCATTGGATATCTCTGGATATCAACTGTATAGAAAAGACAGGGAAAGGCGTACTGGAGATGTTGCCCTGTGTGTTAGAGAGAGCATAGAGTCAAGCACACTTGATAATATAAAGTGCGAAGACTCCTCCACAGGAGTAGCATGGGTGAAAATTCCTGGCTCCAAAACTAATTTAGTCATAGCAATATCATCCTCCAGACCAGAATGCTCAGGATGATCCTGGGAAATGAAATCAGGGAGGCCTTCTTCAAAAGCAGTACTGTAATAATGGGTGGCCTCAACTACCCACACATTAACTGGATAAATGGACATTGTTTACTCAGACTTCTAAAATACTTTTGACAAAGTTCCTTTCTAGAGCCTTCTGTACAAACTTAAGCAGTCAAACCAAACTATCTTATTTTCTCATGACTGATATTATTAAGGAAATGCCAGCAAACTTTGAGGCACTTCAGAGTTACATAGAACCCAGTTTTAGCATCGCTGGTGTATGCAATTATTGCCAACTAGTATTGTCATATTATTAATTCTAGTGCTTGCATTTTTGCATTTAGACTCATAGAACAAGCTCCATCCCACATGGAGGAAGAAGCCGTGAGGTGGGCCAAGCTGATAATTCCTTTAGTTGTTCACTCAGCTCATAAAGTACAATTAAGAGGTGCTACTGCATTGGAGATGGGAATGCCACTGTTATTGCAGAAGCAGCAGGAGGTCGCAGCAGTCACTGAAGAACTGATGACTACTGTAAGTAAACGTCAGCTTCAGAAAAAAAAAAAGCAAAACCCTACAGAAATCCCAGATATACTTGGAGGCCTGACTGCAGAACCGAACTATCCTGTACTCTTATCACTCCGTGCTAACAGTATTTTATAAAATCTTTGACAAATGGATATGGCTTTGGATGGGTGGGAATATTCCTTACAGTTACGCAGTGAAGGCTGCAAGCAAGCTCTCACAAATTAATTGTTTTTGCTAATCTCCCCTGATTTCAAACTGTACTGACTACAAAGCTGGTTAGGGAATTCTGCCACTATTAATTGAATACAGGCTTCAGCCAAATAGGCATGTTTAAATTAATTAAAGTTAATTATCAGTGCATTGTTATGCATATCTAGGCAGAAACGCCCCTCCCCATCCTCCAGCCAGCAGGGCTGCATACAGTGCACAAGATAATATGCAAATATATTCTTTAAAAAGCAGAAGGTACTTACCACTAGGCTCCATTAGCCTAGGTTTCAAGTGCCTAGGTCTCAGGATGTTGGCACTATAACCTTAATTGACCGATAAGTGCACAATCTTTTATTATAGATAAATCTGAATATGTTTTCAATATTACTAATGAAATATTGCTGTCTCCCTACAGTGGGCTTTTTTACATACCAGATGCAGCAGCCATCATCTGGCTAAAATGCTCCTATTTATCACTGTCCTGTCCATGTGAACAATTTAATAAATACCAATTTCAAGACATAATAATAGTTTTATGTTTGTGTAAGCTCAACCTCAGAAGAGCACTGCTGAATCAGACGGAAGGCTGGCTAGTCTGGCAGTGGCTCCCTGTCTTAAGTGGTCAACAAAAATGCCTTTGGGAAGCCCACGAACAATACACAAGGACTATAGACCCAGCAACTGCCATTTGGTGCTATTATGCCGCTGAACAAACACTGTTTTTAGCTGTCAGAGTTAAAGTCTGTTCATAGACCTATTTCATTCTTTTAATCATCCTTAGCACAGGATATTCCATTTCACAATCATGAAATACCATGCTGCTTTATTTATGTAATTAAATAGTTGCCAAATATTTATATTAATTTGTGTGACTGGGGGTGGGAGATTATCCAAGTTACTAAAGTATGGAACATTTTCATCACTTCTGTGTTTTTCACTTTTGCAGAAAATAATTCCAGAACTCCAAAAACTGTTTTCATCAAAGAACGAGACGTACGTTTTGAAACTCTGGCCCCTGTTTATAAAACTTCTTGGCAAAGTAAGAATATTTGCTTTCTTTCAGGTAATAACAGGCACTGATTATGTGGATGTGTTAACTGTATATAAACTGATTATCTTTTCCAGGCATTGCATCGTAGTGGAAGCTTTATCAATTCATTGTTGCAGTTAGAAGAACTTGGATTTCGTAGTGGGTCACCAGTGGTAAAGAAGATAGCTTTCATTGCATGGAAAAGTTTGATAGATAACTTTGCTCTAAATCCAGGTAGGCTACAGTATTAAAGCAACATTGGATTAATATTTACACTAAAAGCCTGTATTTTCATGTGATCTGCTGCTTCTATAGAAACAATTCCTATTGAGCTCAATGAACTGAGTCCTAATTAAGTGCACTTAAGAGCTCTGTTTCATTCAGTAGCATTGCATGCACACCAGGAAGCGTTGGCCAAGTACACCTTGCTCCTCCTTCGCTTTCCCAGCCACACAAATTATTTCCCTGGCCATGTATCTTTACAGCATATGCTTAACAATATTGTTCTAGTCAGGTCTTCCAGTCTGGATTGCAATTTAGCTTCACTCAAACCACCAACCTCAAGTTGCTGGTAAACATGTTTTGTCACATCATGCACAGCTATTATATGTACTTAATTTCTATACTGCCCAGTAGCTAACTCTTCCTGTGGTGATGGAAGAGCTGCCTACTCCATTAATGTACTGCTGTGGCTGAAGGAGTGTGATAAAAATTAGGAAGTTCTAGGCTTCACTCTTGTTTCTCCTGCTGAATCATTTGGGCAAACCATTATTCTCTTACTTGCAGACACCCACCTGCAATATGATACTAAAGCTGGCCCACCATATAGGGCTACAACACCAACTTTCAGGGTTTTGTATGTGAATAAACTTTCATTAAAATACCAAATATATTGCACAAACTTCTGAAACGCATCGCAAGTCCATAACCCTCCTACTTCGACCTTTTTGAAGGACAGGCCAGTGTTAAACAGCTCCCTTGCTTGTGAGTGGGTAGGAGAGAATTGAGAACACTCTTTCTTGCCTTGTCGAAATGTATAGCTATTGAGTGTGTCTGGTTATTGTTGCTTTCTTCCACTTCAAGGAGATGGCAGTATCATTTTATATGTCAAGTACTAAAAGAAAGCAGTGTTGTCCCCACAGGAAAAACCTTAGATTTTGTGCTATTTACAGAACTCTTACAGAACTCTTACTTTGTAACACATTGCAGGCAACCATCTTAAATCAGCTTTTTATGTATAAGTACTGTTGACTCAGTCCTTAGCAAATCTATTTAGGGTTGGAATATTAATGTACAAGTCTGGACAGGGAAACTTTTTGCTTTAGGTGGGCAGATGACTCTCCAAGCCTTCTGCAGGCTGAATAATGTTAGGGCATGGGGCATGCTTCCCAACTTCATCTGGCCAGCAACTAGAGCTTCTCCAGCCCCCACGTTGGTCACTGACCCAGCTGGGGAGAACTAAGAGGCATGGTGGGTGAGGTATTTGGTATGACACTCACCTTCCCAGTGAGTGAATGGTATGGTTTGAAACCTCTGGCATTGGTCAATGCAGTATTATCAGAAGTAATAGTAAGGATTCCTCTCTCTAGCACTCTTCAAAGGTAGGATGTGGGCAAGGGGCCTTGTCTGAGACCCTGAAGTCAAGTTAGGTCAGCCCGGTAGGCTGCATTTGGGCCATGGGCTGGAGGTTGTCTGTTTCTGATCTATGCTAAGGTTTGTGCAGGTTAATGTTTAGGTTTACAGAGGTTGTGATAGTGCATTAAACCATTTTTAAAAGGTTGGCAGCTATGTTTTTTCTTAAGTGCAGGGCACCTGCTGCAATTTGGGATCCTGTGGAGGGGCATAGGAGAGCTTGAACCCTTTGGGCCCCTGTTGCCATCTTAATCTGGGTAGATGGCGCTGCACCTGCAATTTATATTGCCCCCCAAGTTATCCATTTACTCTAATGAATCATTTTTTGAAAGTATAAATTGCAGGAGTATAACAACCAATCCAGGGAACAAGCGGTTAAAATTCCCTGGCTTCCTATACTTGAGTCCCCTATGGTCCAGATTGGGGGTCTGCTTGCTTCAGTTATAAAAGATGTTGCTGCTGGGTGCATCTTGAATGAAAAGTGTAGTTTGGACTGCAGATATGTTAAATACATACCATTTGGAATTAACAGATCCAGGAGACTCTGCCTATAGGTGGCCTGAAGCTCTTCAGCAAGTGTCATACAGCACCTCTTGGCCTATTTACATTTCCTGTTGGGGAAGCACCCTTTTACAGGGCACTGATCTTAGGTGACCCAGATGTCTGCAGATAACACCCAACTTTCCTTATGCCTTTCTTGTGCTCAAGGGGAGGAAAGGTTTGCAAAAGAGGAGATCTCCATCTTAACCCTGCATGGCTAGTCTCCCATTACTTTCACCATAAAGAGCAGATTTATCTCAGCCTGTTTCTAAATTAAAAGCACAATGAACCAGAAGTAACAATCGTAACACTAAGTTGTTCTGCATATTTTTAGACAGTAGCAGGAGGAAGGACATTCAGATGTCTGCATTGGTTCTCCTATCTGTAGAAGCTGCAAGTAAATTTTTGTGGCTCTGAGAAATGCACGCACAGCAGCATATACTGGTTGACTAAAACCCCATTTTTATGTCTGGGTTAATGCCAGAAAGAGGCTAAACTAGACCAGAAGGTATGAGTTGCGCTTGGTTTTTCATTAGGTATAACAAAGACATGTTTTCAATCTTTGCTTTCTAAGAGATCTTATGCAGTGCAAAAAGACTGAAGCTGCTCATGCAACCGCTGAGTTCCATCCATGTGAGGACTGAAGCTCTGGCACTGACAAAGTTAGAGGTGTGGTGGTATTTACTGATGAGGCTTGGGCCTCAACTCCCAGTCCACTTTGAGCAGGTATATGAATTTTGTTTACCAGTAATATTATGCAATAGTTACAGCAGGTTTCTGGAGAGACATGGATTTCTATTATTTGACCTAGATTAAACAAGAGTATTTCTTAAACAGATTATTAAAAGCATTTGTACTTCACAGTATTTAGGATTGATCTAATAATTATGTTTTCTTCATATCTCAGTGTTCTGAATGAAAGAACTTTTGTCAGTCGTAAACCTTGAGCTCAGTGAAGGCATTTATTTCACTTTAAAATAACCAGAACATGACTAAGTCCTGGGATCTAAACTACATAGAACTATGAAGGGAAAATACCCAAACATCCAGTAGCTTATGTTAAATATTAGTATTTTGCCTAAATCATTTTCTAAATAACCGCACTACTCAAGTTTAGCTTCAAGTCTATTTGCTGTGATCAAGGATTCCCAAACAAAGCAAGACGTCTATGTGCCTAATGCTGTACTATGTCTGTGATGAATCAGTTTGCATCTGAAAGCAGTACCCAGCGTTTGGGGTCTGCTTTGGCATGCATTAACCCATTTACTAGTTATTCACTTTATGCAACACTCCTTGCATAGAAATGCTGAGTCAGACTATTGAGACCAAATCTGCCAAGTTAAACCGGTTTTGTGCTTCATGTTGTGCTTCTGTGTTTTTTATTTTAGGTTTGTGTGCCATTAATTCAGAGCACTTTAAGTTTAGATGCCTCTCTATTACAAGGAAATTCATCTCGGTTATCCATTAATCAGAGTTTAGCATCAGCAGGTTCTGCACAGAAATCAGGTATGGGGCAAGCCTCTTTCCAACTAATTCCAGTTAAGCAAGTGTGAAAGAAAAGGTGACAGTTTTCAGTTTTCTACTACCACTTGGAGTACTGTGCAGATAAGATACAATGGCTCCATGTATACTGCCCCAACTCCCTTTTTGAAGGCTGAGACTGAAATGTTACAGGAGTAATATTTAAGCAGTGTATCTGTATATTCAGATAGTGTTTTTATACAAATCATGTGGTTCTGTGAAGCACTATGAGCAAAACATAAAAAAAAACCCCAGACAGTCCTTGCCCCAAGGAGTTTTTAATCTAAAATAGCTACTTTATCCTCAAAAAACGGATTTTTTTTAATGTTGAGCACATTACAAATTGGGATTCTGTGGCTACATTAGTGAGCATTCTTGTGCAAAACTAAGCACCACTGAAACTGGTATAACTCTCTACATATGTTCAGGCAAGGAGTGTAGAACTTGGAGTGCCTTCTTGAAATGTGAGTGTTCTGAAGTGTTTTCAGATAGATTTGCCTCCACCTCCTTTGCTTAGATATAATTTTGTGTGCTCCTTCATATGCATAAAACAGTATTTCTAGTAGAAATGATGTGCTCATGAAAAACATTGCAATTTTCTGTTTTAGGTGTCTTCCCTTTTGGAACATCTCCCAGTCCAAGGGTGAAACTGAATTCTAGCACAAGTGGAGTTGTGCCCATTCCATCCATTCGACTTCTAGGAATTGAAATGCTCCTTCACTTCTTCATGGGGCCGGAGGTTTTAACTTTTGCCAAGGAAAACAGTGTTGTATTTAGTCTAGGTATGTTAAATATTTTTGAAAAGCTTACAATAGCATCTTGTACTGCCTGATTTTTTTAAAGCAGTGGACTTAGTCTATCTTTTGACAGTTATTAAAACATGTGCTCTCTTCCCACCTAGAACCTCTTCAATACCCAGTAATTGCCAGCCCTTCCTTCTTCTGTAAACATGCCAATACATTCATAAATGCAGTTCAGGATGGTTTCATTGCAATTGGAAAAGATGCTTCTGGTAAGACTTAAAAGTTTTGCTGCATTTTATACACCTTGCAAAATAGATTCATCTAACAGTACATTAGACTTGTCATCTAGCTTTTCCATTGGTTACTGATAAGATATTTAATGTCTGCTTGCTTCTTGGCTATTTTTGCTGATTTGTCCTTCATCCAACTCTTGTCTTGCAGATGTTATTCTAAGTGCCATATGGAAGGAAGTAATTGGCTTTGTAAGAGCTGCAATTGAATCAGGTAGCCAGTGTTTTTTTCTGTTTTATGCATAATTTAAACTAGGGAATCATATGAAAGCAAAAATCCGATAATTCCTCAGTGTAAACGCCTAAAGATTTTTGCTGTAACTATCAGGCAAGGCAGCAGTACCAATCTTCAAAGAAACTAATTCAGTCTGAATACCGAATTATGAAGAGCCTGTATCAGTACTGAGTGTATTCCGGTATGCTTAGGGCTGAATGACATTGGTGTAACAGTTACATAAATGCAGTGAATAACAAGGTGCTGTCTGTGAACTGTTTGTACAATACAGCTCTTACAGCCGTTTGTATAGTGTGCAGACTCACTACAGTAGCCATGAGTGATTTTACTAAGAACAAAACTCTTGCATCAGAGAATCTAAGGTTTTCAATTTTATTCTAAGTAATGATGTTAATTTTAAAAAGCTTCATTTTGCTTCATTTACTTGTAGGCAGCAAAAGAGAGCGGCAGAATTCAGAGTTACTAACTGCACTGCTGCAAGCCTTAAAAAACATCGTTATGTCAAATGAGCTGCCTGTATTAAAGTCACTGGTAAGTGTTAATATAGTCTCTCTGTTAAAAGTGCTGTGTCTGTGCGATTTGAATCCTAAATGGTACAGGTTTCCACTTGGCTGGCCATTTGCTCAGAAGTTGGTCCGTAACTTACTCAGGAAATGGGTTTCATTCACTGAAATTCTAGCACTGATATCCCAACAACAAAACCATGCAGACTCTGGGTTGTTCATCCCTCAGCTACCATAGTACTGGCACCTGAACCAACCCAGGAATGTGGTGTTCCTGGTATGTTCTGTAATTGGGAAACAACATGGAACCAATAGACAGTCTCAAGGAAATGTGCTTGCTGACACTTTCCTGCATGACCTCAGCAATCCATGGATAGGCATTACATGTGAACAAGGTCACTCTAGGCTGTACATACTTCTTAATAGTTTGCACAAATCAGGTGTGCAAATCTAATTGAGCTCCACTGTGAGGGCTTCTCTTTTTTGCCCACACTGCAGAACACAGATTCTGGCAAGCCTTTTCTCCCTGCTAACTTTAAAACAAGATCAATAGCGCTTTTGTGTAGAAATCAGATAACCCTTTTTGCCTTCTATTTTAGTTTTATAATGAATTCTTGTCTTTTCCATTAGTCCCTTATAGAAATCACAATTAAAGAATTGCCTCCAAAAGTATTAGGATCACCAGCCTATCAGATTGCTGACATGGATCTTCTGAATGTAAGTAAGATTGTGTGTGCTATCCCTAAATACATTAAAAGAGGAATCAGTATTGAACTTTCGTACATTCATAACCTCTGTTTCCCAAAACATTAGCTTCCAGGCAGAATCTAAATTTCTATCTTTAAACCTGCTTTCGGTAAACAAAGATTTGTATATCTCAGCCTTCCCTAAGCTTGTCCCTTTCAGACACATTTGGAATGCAACATCCACAATTCCCAGTCAATGGCCCTGCCCAGTGGGAATTCTGGGAGTTGTGATCCAAATGTCTTGGAAGGCCACCAGGTCGGGGAAGGCTGGTGTACCTGATGAGATCCCAGGTAGATTAATGTGGTGTTATGTATGGCCAGCTGATACATAGGACAGCAAGGAGGGAAGCAGAAACTCACTATCTCGTGCTTGCTGGTCTTCTGTTGCCTGCTCTGTCAGGGCAGTCCTGTCCCTTAGACAACGCTCTTGTGAGAAGGATTCCAGGAGCAATGTGGAGGTGGATAAAGGGGGAACCAGGAGCCTACTTCTGCTGTGCACTGCTTTTGCTTTATCTAGATGCCGGTGGTGGAACTAGGAAAATTTAGCACTTGTTCTTACGGGAAGAACCCTTTAGATTACTGTGTGTGTCACTTCAGCTGTGACAAACGTTCTCTTCTTCCCTCAGCCTCACTTTTCATACTAGCCAACTCATTCTACATTATTCATATTTTTCAGAATTAACTGTTTACCACTCCTGATTTAAAAGGCAAGAAAGACCATCTCTGATCAAATGTAGTTTCACATTTTAAATTCATAGCACAGGATGAGCACAGAAATTAAATGGAATTTGCATTTGATGCCCTGACATTAGACACATTTTTCTGGAAATAAGCCCCATTTTTTTTGTAAAAAGGGACAAAATCGTTTTAAAGTAAAAATAATAAAATGAGCATCTGTTGACCATGTGTGTGCCAGCCCTTGCTCTATTTGAAACAGATCCGAAGGGATGGTGCAGTGATCAGCATCAGCCTTGGTGGGCCCCGGCATGCCACAGCAGTCCAGTTTTTGATGCCAGGCCTGCTTGCCATGGCTCCATCTCCTGATCTGTGGGTGATTGTGTGGGGGTCTCTGGGCTGCACAGTCCTGGACATGCTCCACAAGGTCTAGCAGCAGCTCCATTGTTTGCGATAATCTTGTCTGACTTGGGATGTATCTGTTTTATCAGTGTGAGCCAGGTTGATTGCTCAAGATAAAAATCTTCTACCCCACCATGGCTTTGTGCTTAAAGGAGAAAGATCTCAAGCACAGGGTTCTAAGACTTTGCTTGAACATTGTTTCGAGGTCACCCTAAATAGCAACAGAAACATGAGGCATTGTGGTGCTTAGGCCCTTTCAGTCCCTGGAGATAGTTTGTGTCAGCAAGCACCTTTCGATAGCAGGTGAGACACGGTGCTGATTTGCTGGGAAGAGCATGTTCCAGTTATTTGGGTTGTGTATAAAAAGCTTCTGGAGAAAATGGGTTCTTTCTCCCCCACCCCTACTAATACGGAAATGGAAATTACAGATTCCAGGAGAAAATACGTCATAAAATAGTACTGAAGGTGGTTTAAAAACAACTGACAGTACCGCCACCCCATGTGTTACTTGGAGTTGGCGAATATCTTGGCAAATGGTGGATCTTAGCCAGGCACTGAAAAGGTCGATCAATTCTTTTTTCAGTCATTGACCAGCCAATAAATAAAGCACAAAATTACAATTAGGTAAAAATAAAAAAATGCAGTACTAGTAAAATTACAATAATTAAGATAAAGAGAATAAAACCGAAAAGATTTTAAAGTTGTCTTCAAGTAGGTCTGCCACAGACTAAGAAAGAGACCTTGTTTTCTGCATTCTTCCAAGAACACCAGAAATCTTAACAGTAGCATTTCATGTCATGCTACTGTTAAGTAGCTGAAGCTTACAGCAAGTATTTATAGCTTGGAACTTAAGGAAGCATAGTTGTGGACTCCTAAAAGTGGAGGCAGGTTTATGGGGTAGCTAGAACAATTTCATAAATATTTAAAGCTCTATTTTTGTTATGTCACATAGCAGGCTTGCTGAAAAATGCTGTGGTTCTCTTTCTTGCCAGGGAACACCAGCATTGTTTTTAATTCAGCTTTCCTTTCGTAAAGAACTCTTGGAATGCTGTGTTCAAGATGAAAGGTAGGTTAAATATATCTTTGCAATATCCTGTTCTGAGTTGAATTATGGTTAAGAGGGTTTATTCTGTGCAAAATGATAATTTTCTCTTAATGTAAAAGTGCATTGTCCCATAACATATATTGCACTGAATGTAATCTTCTACTCTACTGCCCCAGTTCTAAAAGTCCAAATTAAGACTACTTAATTGGTTCTGTAAGTTACCAGCACCCATAGTAGAAGAGGGATCATACAGACCATTTTGGCCAGGTGGATTATGATTGTACTGTATTATTGACTTCTTGTGTGGAGCAGATCCAGAGAGATTGCTGGGTCCAGAGCTCTGGAGTCTCAGTCTGACTCTTTCAGCATGGACATCCTGCCATACTCACACCAGCTGGTATCAGCATTTTGAAGTTGAGGCATAAAATGAATGCTGGCTTCACAGCAGGAACCACTTTTAGGGTAAACTAACAAATGATGCAGATTACCTAGGTTGAGTTCAGTGTGACTTAGACCTGCCACCACCTAGAATAAAGCCAACCTTGTCTTCTCTGCCCTTGAGGGCTCTTCTTTGTAGCCCACTGTGCCTTAGAGGAACTGCAGCTTGGTTGTAGGTTGCACCTGGTAAGTTGCATGCAAAATGGGGTTTGCCACAGTGTAATGTGACCCAAAGCATAAAGTGCTTCTTGTGAGCATCCCCAGTTTAATTCCCAAAGTACAAACTCTGGATTTGGGTAAAAACCAGGTAAAAGATTTATTAAGGATTCAGAAAAAGTACAGAATGGGAGGAAAATTGGTCAGATTCTGGGCACACACTAGTAAACCGTTAAGAGGCAAAGAAAGCAGTTCAAATTACCAGATTAATAGCAAAGAACAAACTAGTCAAGTCTAGCTAGCACAACCCTGCACTAAGCTCCCTACCTGGTGGCTTGGGAGAAATGTCCTTTGGTAAATTATCTTGGTGTCTGTATCAGGGCTTTGGCCTTGGGTTGGGAGGAAAAAAACCACAACTGGGTTCATATGTCAGAGAAACCTTAGGCAAACTCCTGGGATTGGCTGAAGCACTCCTGTTTCCTGGGAGACTTGTTCCTGGTACCTGTGCTGAAGGAGAATACACCCCCTTCCTTTCTCAGTGGGATGATGTATCTCCTGTGGTCCCTTCCCCCATGCCTGGCCAGAGGTTTCGGAGGAATCTCTTATTTGTGTGTCTGTGGACTGTCCAGCAATGGCTCATCTCCAGCTCTGAGAGATTGTAACAGATTCCTATTGTTCAAGCACCTGGGCTCCTTATCTACTGATAAGATTGGCTGAGTGGTGGTGCTTGGCCTTCAGATGACCTCAGGTGGGTCATCTGCATTGCAATGCCAGAGTCAGGTGACTTTATGCTCTGGTTGAGTGGGCTATTCCAGGCCAGGTGTTCTCCTTTTTATCTGCCTTGCTATTTAACACACACACAACTACTGGGAGGGTCTGGATGGCATTCCAAAGTTTCATGTCACCAGTATGGCATGGACACCTTGCTCAAGTTCTAAAACGATGTTTGCTGTTGGTAATGGATGAACAAATTGGGACTTAGTCTGCCTGTGTTGCACTTTGGAGATATCAAGTAGCTTTTAAATGTAACGGTTGATCTGATGGTATTTTATTTTAGCCACCTTGAACATGAAGGTGGAAAGGCAGGTTGATGATGAGGATGGTTAAATTACTCTTGTAATTTACAAGGCAGCGTATAATAACTCTGTTTTAACCTTGCAGCAACAATTGTCTGAAGTAGGTCCCCAGTCCAGCACTCTAACCACTGTACTACACTGGTTCTCCAGTGTTTGTGTGAGTGAATGTGTGTAATTTAATCCAGTAATACAAATATAATTCAGTTGCTGAATAGATTTAGCTTTGACCTTCTGTTAATGACAGGTTTTTTCTCTTTTTTGACCATTAGGTTTTTCTTGAACTATGAATCTCTTGTCAGATCTGTTTTGTCGGGCCCTACATCTCCTTTGGCTTTCAGTGAGTCTGTGTTCACAGTTGTTAATCATAGCGCACAATACTTGGAAAACAAAGAACATCTCTGGAGAATATGGAGTATTGTAGTTAACCCATTAACTGACTGGATTAACCAGGTACTGTGAATTTATCAACCTGAAACCTTACTGTATAGAATTATAAGGCACTTACTTGATAAACTCTTCACTTGGTGGCTACATGTCAGTACAGACTGAAATATCAGTAAGTGCCTTTATGATGCTGGATTTTGAATAATTTTCATTTTTCTTGATTCATTTTTTCACAAGGGGACCAACAGTTTATAAGATGCTTGAGGAGTCTTCGATTGTTCACAATTTGCAGAAAAGTCTAGCTGTGATGCTAATAAACATTGTTGTCAACAGAAGTTCTTGGATTTGCCTATCCAATATAATTAGCCACTGCAATTCAGGATGGCAAATGACTTTTCAAACTGTAGAGAGTTTCTGAAATGCAGTGTGACTTTGGCATTAGGGTCAAGTGCTTGAACAAAACAGTCAAAGTTCCTATTGAGCATGCACAGTTTTGAAGCATTCCTGACACAGCTTGCACTACTTAACCATATGCAATTTAATTCATGGGTACTTTGTATGCCAGCCTCAAAATTAACTATACTTAAGTGTACATATATTTGCATATCTTATATGGAATTCTCAGGTGCTACTAGTGTCTTGGAAACAAACAATATCTACATTTGCGTACTTAAAACATATGTAGTCCCTTGGTCATTGCATGTTTTGTTTTACCATATGTTCAGTGTTTGCTTGAGAAGTAAAAACACTGCTGAATTTGTTTTTTTAAAGTTGGTATCACCTAACTCAATTAAAAATATATAAATTGTGCAAGTTTCTGATTGTAGAAAACAATATACGATTTTTTAAAAGATTGCATTCCAGGTATCCACAAACACATCTTGACTATTTTTTCCTTAGACAAATGAAGTAAATCAAGGTGATGCTTTGGAACATAACTTCAGTCCGATTTACAGTGCATTGTTGCTCCCTGTGAACCATATATTCCCATCTTCTGAATTTCCACGGGTAGGAAACTAATTTTATTTAAGTGCATATAGTAGCAAATACCATTTGGAAAAGCACTGTGGTGACATGGACTTTTTTCTTCTTTTGCTTCAGCCCACAATGAAAACATTACTGCGTTCCTGGTCAGAACTCTATAGAGCATTTGCCCGTTGTGCATTGCTGGTAGCAACAGCGGAAGATAATTTATGCTGTGAAGAACTCTGTGCCAAAATACTACCTGAGTTAGAAGATGAAACTCATATGGTAAGAATACACTATTTAAAATGTGACCTGATTCTGTATGCAACTTATCACCTGCCTTGCCCTTTCTTCGCTAACTTGAAAAATCTACGTTGCTTCTTTTCCAGAATCAGTCCATGTTGGAAGGTCTCTCACAGATTGCATCAGTTATGGTTGATTGCATCAATTTTGCACCCTATGGTAATAAATTGCAGCCAGCAAATACATGTAAGAATAAACACTAACTGTGTCCTGTCACAAACTTTCCAGTACGGAGTCCTCCAGTTCAGCATATTTCATTCCTTTCCCTCTCTTGCCATGTCTGACATTCTGGTCCCACCCCCTGCCCCCAGTCAGGTAGAATTCAGTGTCCAATGAGCATAATCAGCCCTGTTGGAACTGTTTCTGAAGGGAAAAAATCCTCTTTGTTTTTAATTATAATTTCGGTAGACTTTGGGATTTTCCAAGCCTTCTAATAACAGGATATAAATGCAATAAATAACTTCCTCCTTGTATGTGGATGGTGCTGTTTTGGCTTCATAAGGACCAGTTGAGAGCTTGCTTTTAGCATATACAAACAGGCACCTCAACACGATGTTGTGTTGCATCCCTGGTTGCCAGAGCCTTTGGCTAAGATGCTTAGGAATCCTTGCTCTAACGTGGGTCTTGATTGTATGAAAATCTAGTTTAGTTTCTGAACATTTAATGTATATGGTTATATAATGCTCTCAGCTCAACCTCTAATGTGGAACACTGGTTAAAAATGCAGTGCTGTAAGCTACCATCTTAACTTCAGCCTAACCTACAGCTGGACCTACATGCACCTCTCATTTCTGTCCCTGGGGACATCTAAAAATAACTTCTTGGGCAACAATCTATCCAGAGAATGAAATTATTGTCTTACCCATTTTTATGCTGCTGCTTTCCTCCTCGTTCACTTATTACTAGACGTTCCATCCCCCTTCCCAGCGTCCAGCATTTATTTATTATGCTTTCATTTTGCCTTTTCACCCCACTCAAGGCAGTTGACATAATCCTCCTCTCAGTATTATCCTTGCAACAACAACCCTGGGAGGTTGGTTGGGCTGAGAGTCTGTGACTGGCCCGAGGTCACCCAATTAGCTCCATGGCTGAATGAAACTAGAACCTATATCACCTGAGTTCCACTCCTTCACTCTTAGCAACTATAACTAGCTCTCATTCCTGATCACTGAGTATGCTCAGTTATCCCTGGACTGCTTTGTGGGGTTCCTTTCTAAAGATCTGTAATTCTGAAGATTTGTGGTTCTCCCACAAACCTCAGAATTCCTGAGTCTGCTGCCAAAATTTTCCTTTTCGGTGGTGCTGTTTTGGCTGCATAAACAGTTTCTCCTAAAGACTGGCAATAAAATTTTAAGCAATAATGATTCCAAATTTTAGGAATTTTTATTTTATTTTAGGTTTTTATTGTGAGAAAAAATGGTTGCTGCATCTGTTCAGTCACTCCTAGCTCTTGGCAGTTGAGTGACCACGGTAGTCCACTGTACATAGTCATTAGCAAGGTTAGAAAAGTTATTGTAAATCATCAAGTTGCTTTTGTAGCTTGCCTTAAGTACTGAAGCTTCTACAGAAATCAACTGCAGTGGACTGCTTTAAAATATCCAGGTTAAGTTCTTCAACTAGATTGGCATTTGCTGATGGTACTAGGTATTATAAGCAAAGTGCTTGTTACAAGTGAAGTTACTGTGGAAAGGATGGACTTAATCTTGCAAGGAGTGCTACTCTTGCATATTTTTGTGAAGGGCCAGTCCACTACTACTGCTATTGTTACACTTATATCCCTCCTTCCTTTTGTAAGATTACAAGATTCTGTTCCTTTCCGTTGTATCCTCACAGGAATAACCCTGTAAAGTAGATTAGACTAAGAGGCATTGCCTGGCCCAAAGTCACCCAGTGAACTTAACAGTCAAGTGGAGACTAGAACCCAGTTCTCCAACCACTATACCACCCTGGCACCATTACTTAGTGAATGAGTACATATGTTCTTTTTGAAATATTAAGTTCCTTTCTTCCATAGTAGACATTTTCCAATGGTAAGATATCAGAATCTACAACTGAAGGGCAAGTGCTTGCCATAACTTTTAATTTCAACATAGAGTCAATGCAGTCTTGCTTAAAACAGCACTATTGACTTAAACTGTTTTTCAGCCCCACAGATACCTACAGACTGGTCCAAAAAGAAGAAAGATCCTCTTGGCAAACTGTCATCTTTAATCAAACTTTTGATGATAATGGTAAACTCTCTTCAGACGCTTGCATCCAAAGAATCTGGCTCTGAAAAACTGGCTGCTGTTGGTACATCTGTTGTTGGTGTTCTTCAGAATATCATTGGCCACATCTCTTTGCCTTCCGTCATTCGATCTCTGTTTGGAACAATTACGAAACCAGTAGCAGCATTTTATGAAAAAATAAAGTAAGTATGTGGAGGTGGCAGAGTAGTTTCTGTCTTTGCTCCTGTTGGTAACTTGTTGCATGTAGGTGTTTGAAGAAGTTCAGGAGTTCATATTTAACTGGAAGATTGACAGCAACTAAGTAGCATTTTGATGCAGAAATTCTAGGTCTGCTGTTTGTTCAAAGTTTTTATAGACTATTCTGTAGCAAATGCTCTCAGTTTAATCACATTTGTTGTTGGCTAGATGTACTGATTTAAGAAGTCAACGTGAGCAACTGTCTTTTAAAAGGATTGTTTTCCAATTTGAGCATTTGCAAAAAAAGGAGTACTTTTCAAAAATATTTGTTATAATACATGTGTATATCATCCTTAAATAAAAGGGTGCTTTCTGTCTTCAGAGCAACTTCTCTGAACCATTTGTGCATACGACCAGTCAACTATAACTGTTACGACTGGTCAACTAAGATTTCCTTAATGAAAAGCTACAGAAGGCTTGAGTCAGGGCTTAAGCTGCTTTCTGAAGGCAACCAGTGTACTACAAGGTCAGCAGATGCATCTGAATAAAATGGGAGTATCCAATACTGCTTCTGTGACTCCATTCCATTATATCTGTGGACCAACTGCTAGCACAGCCTAGGAAACAAACATCTCCAAAAACAATCCAGAAACAAGCAGAAACACTAGTATCCTGGATGGGATGATCCCTTCTGAGAGGGACTGCTCAGTGACATTCCAGAACTGGCTCTTTCCCCACATTTCCAATAGCTTTGGAGACTACTAATGTCTTGGTGCACTAGCAATAGGTTCTACAGACATCCTTGGGTACCTCCCACTGTATGCTTTGTCCAAATAATTTATTTGGGATCTACGGTTTGAAGTTAGTTTATTTTTTAAAAAAGTTAATAACTGACATACTGCATTGCTGTGCTATCCAGTCCTTTTAACTAATCCATTTTTTCTTGCTTATATTGTTACGTGTCAATTCATCTGACTCCATTCTTAAGATGGCACTTAGAAAAGCAGGACTTATGTCATTGCATGGCTGTTCACATATTATCTCCTTTCCCTGCCAGGTCTTCTAATGCATCTAAAATGACAAATGGACACAACAACAAGGTAATTAAATATCGTAGATAGAAAATTGCCTTTCTGTCTTAGTACAACAAACTTTATTTAGTGCTTTGCATCCTTAAGGCCAATCCTGTAACTTACAGTGGATGTGTTTATAATTAACTCCATCATTCTCGTACAAGGATGGATGATACCATATCTTCCACATGTCTTGGACTTCAGCCCCTCAAAGGCCCCAGGCTGTCTGACTGGGATTAAGGATCTACTGGTCTGAAACATGGAGGGCAACAGGTGGCCAGCCTCTGTTTTAGCACAAGCAGATGCCTCATATCTGTGATGCTGTAACGTTATGAAACTTCTAGAACTTCCTCACATCACAGTGGAGGAGGCAGAGAGAAACTTGATCAATGCAGGCAGCTTTGGGAAAGTAATACAGAAATGAATACGTTAGATTTAGCTAATTACCACTTGTGACCTGTTTTTGCCTCTGAAGCATTGCTAATGGATTTCTTTGTTTTTCCAGTTTGAAAAGTTACTGGCAGAAAGTATTAGTTGTTGGCAGTCCCACTATACTGGATCCTTTGACGGTGCACTACTGCAAGAGCTGTCTCCACTGCTGTGTGTCATGCTTTCACACAAAAATAAACAGATGCGCAATCAAGCTGTTCAGTTCTGGAATGCATCATTTGGTAAAGCTGTAATGCTGACCTACCCAGAAGAATTAAAGTAAGAATGTTTGTTTTGCATGTGCTGTTCCCTACAGGCAAGCCAATATACATGTTTGACCCTTGCAGAGACTTCCCTTCACCCAGATATGACTATAAAACAAACAAATCCAGGCATGTCCTTTTGTGAACAGAAAGATTCCTTCTGTCTGCAAGAGGGGCTTGTATCCACCAGAGGCTCCTGCTGGAAGAAAGGGAGAATAAGTTTTGCATTGTCCCCCGAAAACCTCCTCTGAAGGTTCTCTGAACCTCTGAGGGTGCAGGAGTCTCCGGAACAGCATGGAAAGTGGCACTGGGAGCTGCAGGTGGAAGGAGGAAGCGATGAAAATCTCTCCTCTTCCACTGCCACAGTGTCCCATGAGCAGAAGCCCTGCAAGTGTGGACTGTATCTTGTATGTTTTGTTCTAGCATCTGTTAAATCTGAAGCACTTACATAGGAGCTTTTAAACATGATACCTGCATATTAAAGCAAGTAATTGTATGTTGTGTACTTTATCCTTACATGAAAACTGAAGTACTTACATTGCTTTCCCAACCTTTTCATTTAGAAACCACAAGCAGGTTTGGGTGGCAGCAGATATAAGCATTAAATGGCCAGGAGAGGGACTGCTTAATTCTTTCTTCTCTGGTGGGCTTCCTGCTTAAAGCTCCATGCACAGAAAAACAGAGTTGGCATTTTGAGTAGCAGCAATTTGCTGTTCCTCTCAAGGTGGTGGTGTGTGTTTGGGGAAATGGGCAGGGGCCACTGCATGTCTAGCTTGGGATTCAGGGCACCTTTCATACAGGTGCAGGGAACATGTTGTCCTCCAGATGTTAGACTGCAGCTTCCACCATTGTCAGCAATGGGTGTTGCAATCCACAAGTGTGTGGAGGGCAGCAAGTTCCCAGTCCCAGCTTTGATGAGCTAACTTGGCTCATTGTTACCGTGCCATGTCCTTCCTGTTTGAACTAATACTGCATCTCTATATGCAATGTAATAAGAATTATTCTTAAAATAAAAGTATGCAATAAAGGCTTAGTATAGTTCAATGCAGAAACTCTCGTTCACCAGAATCTTGGGATTCACTTATTCACAGCTGCAGAAAACTAGTATATTTTTCAGCATGCAAGCAATCCAAAGAGGAAAAGACTTTTATGGTGTTTTGGTTTTGGCACGAACTACTAGTCTATGGATTTTGAAATTGTAGTGTAGCAATTAACCCAAAGTTTTCTTGTGGTTATGAATCTTCACATCTGAGCCTTTAGATAAAAACTGATAATGCTTAATCTTGAGCTGTTTATGCAAGACTTAGGTTTTCAGTGCATTCTTCATGGTTGTATCCTTGCAGATCTGTTTTGTTGCAAGCTAAGCAGAAGATGATGCTCTCATTGCCTTGTTTTGAAAGCACCGAGCTAATGGGCGAGTCTAATGGGACAAATTCTGATTGTGTAAGTATTATGGTTTTTGAGAGTTGAGAGTTTGCCATAACAAACTTGGTTTTCCACTGTGGATGAACAGACCAGAATGAAGAAGTTTAACTTTATTCAACTTCAAATTCCCAAAGTTTGAGTATACTATGCTTTAAAAGAAAGTGATTGCAAGTACCTCTGAACAAATCCGGTTGATAGCAGTAATTCTTGCACACACCTGTTGGTGAGACTATACAACAGGAGCTCAGATCCTTAGAGGTTTTACTGCTTTTTGTTAAATTAGTGCATAACTCTTTTGTAACAGACAGAAAATTCTCAATTGGATGCGAAGATAAGTGGAATAGAAGTAAATCTTTGTGCGAAGAGAGACTCCTTGCTAGCAAAGACCAGTGACCTAAAAGAAAAAAGTATTAATTCCCATGTAACACCTGCAAAGGTAAGTTATAATGAAGTTTACTAATCAAGTGGTATTATATTGGCCATTGCATTTTCAGCAGTTAGAGTTTTTCTTCCTAAATATCATGATTTTTCTTATTAATGAGCTGGTTTCTACTTTGCTTACTAACAAAGTGGTTTGTTTATCGGATTCCTAAACCACCCAGTAACCAGGTGCTAGGAGAGCCTTCCTGCAGCGTTTATGACCTCGGTTGTGATCTATTATATCTGAACTTGGCAGCCTGGGATGTTGAGGGAGGAACATTTCAGAGTTTTAACCCATGGTTTTGTTGCTGGGTTAAAATCCTGGGTTGTTTCTTCCTCAACAGTCCACAGTGCCACATGTCCACATCACAACAAAACAACCCAGGGACAAGAGAGATTAAACTGGATCCCAACCAAAAACAGCAAACAGTGCACAGTTGCTCACATGAGACTTCAGCCAACCATGAATTGGTTGGACATTATGTGCAAACTAGGTCATACCTAATAAACTGGTATAAGGTGTAAGCATAAGGTAAAGCAAGATTATGATTTTAGCTTCGTGAGATTTGATTGAATAGTACATTTTACATTGCAAAGATTTTGGGACTGTGTCTGGAGCCAGTTACAAGCAATTCCTCTACCCTTTATAATTTTTATTATGCCATAGATGAAGGTAGAATTCCCACTGCCAAAACCAAATCGAAAAAACATGCTGCTGGAAGAAGAAAATACTCTTGACTTCGTCTTTATTCCTCAAGAGACAAAAGAGAGAGTATTGACAGAACACCAAAAAGAAGTTCTAAGAACAAAAAGGTGTGTGACTTTGTGTTTGCTCCATAAAGTGTCACTGTGTCTCTTTTCTGCTTTAAGAGACAGAAGTAATAGGTGAATACTACTAATGTGCTTCTGCAGAAACAAAAATTAACTAGTTAAACTTTACTCTGCCCAGCTATGTTCTGTAATTAAAAGTGTTCTGACTGCAGACTGTTCTGAATAGAGGGGTCATTTCAGCAAGCTTTCAGCTTCCTAGAGGGTATTATGCAGAAATAAAAGTATGAGATCTCCGTGTCACCTTTTCTGCACAAAATTGTAATATTTCCACCTTTAAAAAAAAAAAGCTGTATTCTCAGCACAGTTTTGGTAAGGCTGCATTTCAGAGTTGCTTTGTGTGTGCTGTTTTTGAGAAGGGAAGGTGAGTATCAGTAGAACATTCTTGCATGGTAAACATGCATGTACCTGCCTCTTTCTCCATCTCACAGTAGCCTGCTGTCCTGAAATAACGCCTTTCTCATGCACAAAATGTGTAACTAACTGGAACAGAAGTCTTGATGTCAGCCTGAAAGTGATAAAGAACTCAGCCCCTTCCCCCAGAAGGTGTTTCTAGGCAGGCTCAGTGCTGCCTAGAAAACAGCTTGCAACAGAATTAAAATCCTGTTTTCAATTTGAACACTTCCTGTGGAAGTGGGAGGTATGTGACGGTAGACAACTGCAAAATATTTGTATTTCTAAAGAGAAGCTGTGCTTTACCAACAACAGGTACTATTTCAAAATGTTTGCACTGGTCTTTTGGCTTTATAAGTTTCTGAGCTAGGAACCACCCTGAGATAAGATATTCTGAGCTAGGAATTCTGTCAGAGAAAGTGAAAGAAACAGCATGCCTTGTGCTCAGCAATTCCTGAGCATGATGAAGAGAGATCTGCATATCTCAGAAGCATTTACTATGTGGATCTAAGATAATTGGAGAGCTTGCCTTCCCCAGTTTATTTTCAGAGTGCCTAGCTTAGGTTTATCCACATCTTTAGAATTATCTAATCTTCCAAACACGTGCCTGAGCTTTTGGTTAGCAACTTACTTATTTGTGCAAGGAGAAATATGAGGAATAATTTTTCCCAGGCTTCACTTGTGATCTTTTTAATAGCCATCTCCATTCTGAAATTTGAGCCACTTTCCAGCTTAAGTTCCGGGACAGTGTACTGTTTTGTAAATCATCCAGTTGCCATATGCTTTTATTCAGTAACGTGTATCAGAATACTGATCAGTTCTGTTTTTTGTAGGGTTGATATTCCTACTATGTACAATGATCTGGATGCATCCCAAGACACTGCTTTGTTTTCCCAACATTCGCAGAGTCAGGAAGATTCCTTGTAAGTCTTAAATACCAGCAGAGCATTGACCTGTAAAGTTTTTGTATCTCCCGTGTCCCTAAACAAGTGACCTTTGTTTCAGGGAGAAAGCAGCCTTAGTAGATGTGAAAGAAGCATATGAGAAGAATGAGAACAAAATTATAGCCCAGGTACGTTGACGCTTATTGGGAATTGATTGTAATAGCCTTTTTTTAAATTACTCTTGATAAAGAACTTATAGAGAAGGGGATGTAGCAGATACTGCTGAACTATTGGCACAATTTTGCAAAGTGTTCAGAAATGCTGAAGCTTGTTGGATGGTTTTGATCCTCTGTATTTGAATGAAGGCATAGTGCTGCCTGTACAGTGCCATGTTAGATTTTTGAAAATAGCAAAATGTTTCTGTAAATAGTTACAGTCAAATAGGATTTTTAATTGAAAGTTTCATTTTTTTCTTGTTGATAACAGTATAGACTAGGAATAGGCTAGGAGTCTGTTTGGGGGTGGAAGTCTCACAAATTCCCTGGACTTGGCTCCCCAGCCCCCAGTCACCATCGCAGCGGCCCTGAGTCCAAGTTACTGGAGAGTAAGCCTAGCATATGTGGAGCCCTTGCCAGGAATTAAGCGCGGAGCACTGTGCCAGCAGCACTCTTTTTCTGCCTCACCTGTGGAGCAAGTGGGGGACAAGGTTGGTCCCAGGAACGGCACCTGACATGGGCTCTCTCAGTGTCCATCTTCTGTGGCCTGCCACCACTTTGGTTGCACATCTGGGGGTACAGAAGTGTTCACAGATTGCCTCTTGGAATGGTTCACTTCACACTGCTGGACCAAGTGCAGAAGGAAGTCTACTGGATGCTAGAGGAATGGTTTCTGAAAAGGTTCGTGTCCGTCCTTGTACACTAAAAATGTAATAAGCAAAACCAGTCTGCAGTGTTTGCAATTCTAGTAAAATATTTAAAAGATACCCCAAGGGTAGGACAAAAAAAATAAATAAGACAGTGTCATTCTTGGAGAAAAGGTGAGATATTAATAATGTAAACAGTATAAACTATCAAGTTTCATATTATTGTGCATTATTTAAATGCAGGATATGGAAACATCAAAGGACTCGCTTAGCATTCCAAATGAAGTTAATGAAAAATGCAAGACAATTACACTTCTGCAACAAAGTAATTCTGCCACTGCAGAACAGCTTATCACTCTTGGGAAACAGCGCTTAGAACTGAAGCAGGAGGAATCAGAAATGTGTGCTCCTAAATCAGTTCCTGAAGAACCTTCAGTATTGAATAGTTCTTTGAATGGAAATACCTCTAATGTCAGCAACAGCTCTGCTTCTAGTGATGTCATTTCAGGTACCCCACCGCCTGTCAGCAGAAGACAATCCTTCATAACTCTGGAAAAATTTGATAGTTCAGGGAACAGACCTTTCAGTCCTTCCACTTTCAGTAATACATCTGGAAGCATCCCTTCAGTAGTTAACCAGGATAGCACGAATGCTTCAGCTGCATCTTCCAATGGAAGTCCAAATGTGGAGAATAAGGAAGCTATCAAAGTCAAAACTGAAGAAGTCGTCACTAGGTCTAAGAGGCCATGCCTGGGAATGTTAGCTGCACTAGGGACTTACGTAAAAGTCAAAAAATCAAAAGAAGAAAATAAAGCAAATTCAAAATTGCAGTCTGAGAGCTTGATTGGAATAAAGAGGTCAAGTCTTAGACAAAATAAAACAGAGTTTTCAGAGGATAAAAAAGCAAAGCTAATGAAGCCAGATCAGGAAAAAAATATTCAAGCTTCCCCTGCCAAGCACACAGAGGACAAGCATGAGTTACTTGTTGAAACACAAGAAGCGGAATATTTGCTTGATAAACCATCTCAGACTTCCAGTTTGAATGTAATTGGAAGCATGATAGAAAGTAAATGTGTGTTAGAGAGTGTTGCAGAGATGAAACCAGGGCCAAATTTAGACACTAAAGAGAATACTCCTCCAGAGGTGGCTGTACCAGGAGATGCAATGTCTAATGTTAGTCAAGCTCCACAAAGTTCACCTAGTCAAAAAACATTAAGACGTTCTTTAAGACGGAAACCAGAAGCCACAGAAGGAGCTGCTGCTAGTCAGGACAAAGAGAATAGTCAACAAAAGAAAGATGATGAGAAGGTTCTGCCCAAGAAGAATTCGCAAGGTAAAGAGACCGTTACACTCAAGCCAAAACCTGCCCCTGAAAAGCCAGTAGATGCAGATAGAAGTGTACATGGAAGTGGTGCTGCAGAAGGGATAACCTCAAAGGAATCCCACGTTTCAGTGAATATACAAGAGGAGACTAACACAGGTACTGGAAGAGTTGAAGGCAGTACTGCTTCTGACATTGATGAGTTGCAAGATTCTGGTGCAGATGCAGCCATTGAGAAACCAAAAGGGTTTCCACGATACCATACAAGAAGAGCTTCACAAGGGTTACTAACTAGTATAGAAAATTCTGAGTCAGATAGTTCCGAAACAAGAGAAGAAGGAACCAAGAGGAAAAGGTCAGGAAGATGGAAAAATAAAAGTAATTCCCTTGAAAGCCAAGTCAAGGAAGAGCTTGCAAGTCCAGAGCTTCATTCACTAAATGTAATTGAAATCCAGGCCACCACAATAGAGAATAAAGATGTAATGCATGCTCAGGAAAGCATGGAAATCGCTTCTGATAATAATGAAAAGGGAGACAAAAATACTCCCCATTCTCCTGAATGTCCAGGACTTAAGCAAAGTACTGATCCTCCTCAGAGCAAAGACTCTTCAGATATGGAGAGAAATGCCAAAATGCTGACACAGTCTGCTTCTGAGGCTGCTTTAGAAAGCCACCAGGAAGCTGTAATTCTTGATACAGTTTCTGTTCCAGATGTTAGTACAAGTTCTCCGATAGAGGTTGCTGGGGATGACAATTTAGCTACTGCTTTCAGTGCCTTCCCTTCCTCTGAGAAATCTTCAGAGCTGTCCGAATGCCAGCACAAAAGAAGCAAGCGGACAAGGAGATCAAAGAGCTGCGACTGCTGTGGTGAGAAGCCATTGCCACTGTTGGAAAAGTCATCCGCTGAACTGAAAAAAACAGGTAGTCCAGAAACAAGGTTAAAAGAACAAAAAAGAACGCCCAATAAAGCAGCAGTAGCTCTGTTACCCATTCCTGCTGCTGAAGAATCTCATTCTGCAGAAAGGCTCACAGTGGAGCCTTGTGCAGCAAGCACTCCCCTGCCTTCCACCAACGACTTTGCTGACCTGAAGGACTCCAGCAGGCTTGTTCAGCCTGCAGAGGATTTGCCAGGGAATGCAGCGCCTGAAGATAAGCTCCAGGAATGTGCCTGCATCGAAAGTGAAAGCAAAGGGCCTGTTGCAGAAACTATGGATTGTACTGAGTTTGCTGAAGCACCTTCGGAGCTTACAGCAAGCTCTCATTCAAAAGAACCTTTTGATCAGTGTGAACCATTAGATGCAGCCACAGATCTGGCTACGATAGAAAAGAGTGATGTTAATCAATATGGTCAACTGGGAGATGAAACTGATGAAGAGACAGGCATTAACCAACCTGAGGAAACAAAGGCTAATGAAACAACAGCCAGTGAAAACAACAGCATAATTGAGCATGGTACTGAAGAAACTGCAGCAGATTTTGTACCAGTAGTATCTAAACCTCAAGAAAATCTCCAGGAAGAGGATGCAGAAGAGGATGCAGAAAATGATATAGCGGACGCTTCAGTAGAATCTCAGGCTTCAGCCTTGGTCCAAAAGGAAGGCGATTCAGATTCTCCATTAAAGTTAGAAGAACTTGATGCTCTCTCTCTAGCCAAGATCAGTGGAAGTCCTAATGGAGTACAGGCACGATGTATATGGTCTCCATCAGCTTCTCCCTCTACCAGTATTTTAAAGAGAGGTTTTAAAAGACAACAGGAAGAAGAATCAACATCACCTGCAAACAAGGTATTCCTTTTATCTGTGAATATCTGCATATTGCAGAGACCTTTCTAATGTTCTGTCATACTTTCCCCCTCCCTGTTTCTTAATAGAGTAAAACCTGCGAAATCCTATCCTTGCGGTTTCCCTCTTAAGGCCTACGTGGCAAGCTTTGCTGTGTCTTAACACTTCCGGATTTTTGTGCAGGAGGGATGTCTGTCTTTGACTACTGAAGTTAACTATGTACTTTATTTTACCTATGAGCATGCACATATATCACAGCAGTATTTGTACCTTCATGGTATAAGTTGATGTGGTGTCGTGTGTTTTCAAATAATTCATGTACATATTTTTAAATAGATACTGCCATGAAGAAATCAGCATTCTAAAGCAACTCCCTTAAGTTTATTCAGGTTTATTCAGAATATTAAGGTTCAGATGGTTACATTTCAATCCTATTTGCATACATTTGAGCACTTCTAAAACCATTGGAGCCTAAGCATCCATAACCATGCCTTGGATTGTGGCCTTTATTGAGTATTGTACCTAGAATACTTGGAGCTAGGAAAAATTGCAAATGTCTGAGAGCCTTTTGAGTTTATCATTACCTGCTCCCCATGTAACCAGGCCTTTTGGGATCTGTGGGAGCAGCTCTAACTGGCTTAAGTAAAATCTGGTTACACAGACATGCCCTGCTATGCTGTCTCCGGTAGTGAATGCAGTCACTAACAGTTGCAGTCAACTTCTTGCTGAAAATCCCAAGTATGTAAGTAAAATGTTTGTTGCTCAGAAGATAATTTGATTGAAATACAAATTTACGATTTAAATACAATTTGAAATACTATAAGATATACTATATCTTTCTCATCTCTATATGTCTGACTCGCAAGTACTTAATGATCCAAGGTTGGTTCTTCAAAAACACAGTCTGTCTCCTATTGGAATGGCATGCTATTCTCCCCCATAGCATCCATTTGTTCATATCTTAAGTATGTGAAGGCCTTCCAATAGTCCACTTTGATAGAGAGCAACAAATGTTTCCCACATGGCTGCTGTTGTTTTGTATCAGCTAATCACTTTGCTGTTTTTAATGATGTGAGAGCAGTTATATCAGTTTGCACTCCTACATCAAATACCCTTTGTTTAAAGATGTGGCTGCTAGCACTGGTTCTATAGGCTTCCTTTCACAGCCATCCCTAACACAGCTAATCTGCCTTTGAACTGGGGAAACATGTACACATTTTACATTTTGCAAGCTTGAGAACCTTTAGTTCGCATCATATGGATCCAAATCAGCTATAGAAGTTTTTCTGTTCTGTGTAACATTGTGGGGGGGGGAGGGTATGTATGCTATTTCTTTATATGAATTCCCACTCCTAGATTTTTGGCCTAGAATTTGTATTCTAGGAATTTTTGTCCTAGTCCTCTCCTCCCTCTCCTCTCTTTTCTTTTTTGGGCATGTGTAAAAATGTCTACCAATTTCCCCTTGCAAAGTGGCATGTTGTGGTTTTCAGTGTACAAGTTCTTGAACAGATTTCATGCAGGCAAATAGTTCTTGTATGGCACTTCCAACAGCTCAAAAAGTAATTTTGCTAAATCTCTGTAAGCAGAGCCGGCGAGTTTCCTTTGCCAATCCAATCTACCAAGAAGAAATGGCAGATGATATTGACCGTCGAAGTCCTGTGGTTAGAGCCCATTTGGCCAATGGTTCACAATCTTTTCGGAGTCCCAAACTGTCACCTAATCACCAAGCCAAGGTAATAGCTGAGGTTCTCATTTTAGATCAACTTTTCTGTGATATTTTAACAAACATTATTCTTAATCTGCTTTAGTAATGTAAAAGAGCCAAGATATGAATTCAGTTATTCCCGGGGATGAACAGAAAGCACACTGGGGCTTTTCTGCCCTTTGTCCCAAAGGGGCCATTTATATTTTAACCAAAGACATTCCTGAGGCTGTGAATCCTCCAGAATAGTATGCAGCGTAACCCCAAGAGGGAGGGTCACATTTGTTTGTGCGCAGAAGTGCATTCTGCTTACCTATAGGGGTCTCTTGCTCTAGGTCAGAACTTAAAAGCTTTGGGGAAATAATGGCGCAGTCTTAACAACAGTTCACAAAGTGAGTTCATTGAGGAAACAGTAGGTGCCCCTGTTCCTTTGAACTGGTTACTGACCTTTTTCCTAAATTCAAGGTCCCGGTTTTAATCATAGTATTTTAATAAGTCTAGTCGTCATATTTTAGATGATTCCTACGATCCTGAGAGAGCTTTTTTCCTCTTTTCCTATCCAGCATATTACTACTCCAATCAAAGGATATCTGTCCCCAGGATCTCGTAGCCATAAATATAAGAGCTCAAAGAAGTGTTTAGTAAGATTTAATTCAGTTTTATGTCTCTCCTCTATTTTCTCCTGTATTCAGCTCTTAAACTTAGCCAAGTTAATAATTGTCTGTTTTGTTTCAGATCACTGAAATGGTGAAGGAACCCCTACCGGCTCCTACAGAAAGCATATATCCCCCATTGATGGGCTGCAAAGCACCTGTTGACACAATTTTGCCTCAGATTACTTCAAATATTTGGTAAGTAGCAGCAAGCTGCTGAGGCAGCCAGTGCTGAAAAAGGCTTAGGTGGCAAATATTGGCCCCAGTCTTTCTGTCTCAAGCTACACAAGAACGAAGGAAATTCACAGTCTTTGGGTACATGGCTCCTTTTGGAGTGTTGAGTTATACTTGTGAAAATATCCATCAGAGAGTGGGTGAATATAGATTTAGCCTACTTGGCATTCCTCCTTGGAATATAGATTTAGCCTACTTTGGGCATATTCCGGTTATTCAGCAGTGATCCTAACTTTGGACACTCTAGAAAGCAAATGCCATCGCAAGCCCGTCCCTGTGAAGAACTGGAGAAAGGACCACTCTCAGCCTTCCATACCAATAAGAGATAGCAGTAGGGATGTGCAAGAAATCTATTTGTGGAAGGAATCTCTCAATTCCGTGGCTCTCCAGGCTCTGGTCTGCCAGGAATGGTGCCTCACACTACTGTTCATAATGGCCCTCTCTGGGTGACTGCACCTGGTGAGGAATGTTGCCATTTGCTCAGCTGGGAGTCTGCAAGCTCTCCCAGACTTTCTCTTGGCTCAGTTCTTTTGCAGGACCAGGCTGAGCGTGAGAACAAATCCACGGATGCCAGAGGGAGAGATACCAAAAGGGTTCATCTGAACCCCATGTGGCAGTAAAATGAGTCTGGAGAATAGATGGCAGGAGCAGTTCAGGACAACATTTTGGGGATATAGGAGATCTGTGCTCCCATTTCAGTGTTGCAGGATTGGACCCTAGGGTGTGCTGTTTCTGCAAATGGAATTGGAAGAAATTCCAGATTAATATACACAGAATTCTACTCTAATACTTTCTCAGTGAGAAGTTCCAGAGGCAAGAGTATTTGCTGCAGAGATGAGAATTTCTGAAAAATTGAGCTTCTTTTTTCATCCTTTAACATTCTCTAAGATACTTAAGCTTCTCTATTGATTTGTCTAAGGGCTCGGGGTTTAGGACAACTCATTCGAGCGAAGAACATCAGGACCGTGGGTGACCTGAGTTCCTTGTCGGCAACTGAGATCAAAACGCTTCCCATTCGTTCTCCCAAAGTTTCAAATGTTAGGAAAGCCCTTAAAGGTTATCACGAGCAACAGGTAGGTTCTTTGTTGTAGTACTGTGAGCGAGATCTGTGTTTGCAGGGAGGAAAAGCCTGGAACGGTAGCTCTAATCGGCATTACTGGCTTAAAGATTAAAACCTGGAAATCCAAATTCAGGGCTCCCGGCAGTCAGGGACTTGTTCTACTGAGTTTGAATGTCACCAAAGTTACTGTGTGTGGGTGTGAAAGCTGCCGGGAAGAAAATGGATGCAATCGAGGCATGGTGCTGGAGGATTGCTTTGCAAATACCCAGGACTGACAGAAAGGCAAACAAGTGGATTCTAGATCAAATCAAGCCAGAAAGTTTCCTGGCAGTAAAAATGACAACACGGACACTGTGATATTATGAAGGCAAGACTCAGTGGAAAACATAATTCTCCTGGAGAAAGTGGAAGGCAAAAGAAGAAAAGGGAGACCAAATATGAGATGGATGGACTCCATCAAGGGAGCCCCAGCCTTCAATTTGCAAGGGCTGAGCAGGGCTGTGAAGGAGAGGGCATTCATTCATGAGATCACCGTAAGTGGGAGACGACAGCACAAAACAGCAAGGTCATGGGAGAGGAGAGAGGACACTTCTTCCCGCCACCCTGAAATCTTTGCCTACAGTGCTGGGTTGCACCTAATGGAGTTGGACTTGGAGCTAGCTCCGTTCTTGGGTGCTTTACTACTTTTACTGCTTTACTATTACAAGAGGGTTCTGGAGTGTATAAATCAAGAGCAACATATCCCTCCCTACTCCTGTAGTCCTTGGAACCTCAGAGGGGCTTTCCTAGTGTCCTGGTATGTATTCCCATGACCCTGACTCTGCCTTTCCACTCACCCAGCAGTGCTAAATGTGTCAGATGCTTGAACTATTTGCTGTCTTTCCAATTAATCAGACTCTCTTCTTTTTTGAAAATTAAATTGGTTCCACTATCTTCAATGTGGTAAATATCCTAGCTAGAACATTTTGAGTTTTGCCCCTTTCACTTAAAACTAATTTTTCTACATGCCTGAGAAATCCCCCAAGTAAGTAGAAAGCCCTACTTTGTCTGTGTTTGGCCTTCATTTATTGCCTAACCAACAAGCACCAATGCAAGTTCATTCAGTCTGATCTGAGAAGTGATGTCTTAATTGGCAGAATGTTTTTATATATTAGTGGCACGTCTGTACATAAGTTGTGATTTTATTAGTCTGAACTTTTGAAATATATTTTAAGATCACTTCTAGCCACAAAAATATAGTAAATACAAGATTTGTGCTTGCAGATAAAAACTCGTGGATTTGAAGAAACTGCTGGCCTGGATGATACAGAAAAGCCAGTCAGTGGCATTGATGAAAAACCCTTTTCAACAAACGAGGACAAACTAATAACAGGTAAGTACAGGCGTCATTCTGCATATGTGCTAAAATTGTAATGCAGTCCCTGTTTGCTGGTATGTGCACCTGAAACCTTGACACCCCAGGTTTAGCCCGTTTGCTGTGTTACTGGCGGGCATCATTCCATGGCTGCTTCCAGCAATGCAAGCATACTTTACATATGAGTAACACACCTATACCTTGCTAACAACATGGTGGTTGGTGCTTTGTCTACAGTTAGCTTGGTTATGTATATAATGACACAGGAGAGAGTTTTTTTTACTGTTACACATGAGTCTGGATCAGGCTAAAGTCTCTGTAAAGAAGGCTGTGCTGACCATTCTGTTTTCTTTCTAGACCTTTCTGAACCAGTTGCTTCCAGTGCAGATGCACAGACCACTACAAACCTTTGCACCCAGATCAGTATACTTGCGGCTCAGATTACTTCTGAAAGTCTTGTCAGTTATTCAGGGAGTGAACTCTTTGAAATGCAAGAGAAACTTCATAGCATGACAAACTGTATTATGAAAAGTCTTCAAGCACGTTGGAAGTCTCCATCCCGGGAAAGCACAGTTTAAACATTTGTACTTCATTTTTTGAAGACCAGATCTTGCCATGACATTTTGTTTGTTAAATCCCAATTTTTAAAATTTCATCTGAACCCTTAACTTTATGTTTTTAAGTAAAAGTGATTTTATGACTTTAAATCAAATGGCCTCAAGTTCTGTATCTTAACATTTTAAGTTCTGTGCACTCTTATTCGTTTCATTAATTTTCTTATTGCTGCTATACAGTTTTTCCAAAATACGTTAAGATGTTCAAGCTCTGTGAAATTTGACTTGTACAGTATATTAACTATATTTTTCAAAATATGCATCATATGTATTGGAAAAGGCCAGATGTCAATGCTGTGAATGAAACTTGAAGTGTTAACTGATTTACCAAACATGATACAGCTCTCCCAGCTGCCAGTATTATGGAAAGTACTGGTTTTATACATCTTTTTTTTTTCAAAAATAGGATTTATGGGGCTTAATTACTACTTAAAACAGTATCTTTTTCAGTCTATTTTTGCATGCATTTATTAACAGGAAAATACATCAGTATGCAATTCTGATGAGTATTCTCAGGATCAAACTGCATGTCCTTAGAATTTTTGTATTCTAAGTGGAGCTGTCCTAGCCCCACTTTGAATCATAAGTAGACAAAATAATTTTGTATATTATGTATAGGCTTACCAATTTGCAGATGTTATAAATTATGTTCTCTGTATAAAATGCACTAATACTTTTGGATGGGAGAAACCTTGATTGTATAAAGCATATTGTGTTATTCAAAGTGGACAAAGATTACAGTGAGATCCATAGGAAATACATGTATGAATAAAAGGACATGCTTTATTTGAAGTCTTTTTTTTCCTCCAGAAGTCTTTCTATGCCATGAAGTCAATTTGTTGTACTAGAGAACCATGCATAGCCTCTAGTGCATACTGTGAAAATACCCAAAGGGGGGAAACATGCAAATAAGAAGTGATGAATGTCTGCTTGTACTTAAAAGGCTACAATCCAAAAACCCACCCAGCTAGTTTCATGTTGCCAGGTGGTCTTTGGGCTTTATTTTCTTGAAGCCACAATATCTGTACTGAATAGCAAATATCTTTTGAAGTAGAGGGACTTGGGATACAATCCTGTTCATGTTAAGACAGAAAAAAATCCCACAGACCCCTTGGTCAAATACCCATATGGCTTAGCTACAATACCTTTTCTTCGTCGTGGCCTCTGTGCATCACACACATGGGTACTGTGCCTGCGCAGTGCCTTTGGCCGGAAGATTGATAGCTAATGGTTTTTGGTGGGAAGCTCCGCTCCCCCTCCCCCTTGTGGCCTATAAAGAGCAGAGCATCTGCCATTTTGTTCAGTCTTTGTGACTGCTGTTCACTGCCTCGTGCCGCTTTCGACTTTCGCTTTGGCTGTTCTTGGTTCTCTTCTTATATATTGCCCTTATACTACTTTCCCCTTTCTTCGTTCCCACTTCTGTGTAGTTTTTTCTCTTGTTATTTCTTTCTTCGATCTATCAAAAAAACCCAAAAAATATATACTTACCCTCTGCACTCTCTTCTTCTGCGATGGCGTAGCGAGCGGCTTTCTGCAAATGTGCGGACTGCAGGTCAAAAATGGCACCTACTGACCCGCACGACCTATGCCTCCTCTGCCTTGGAGAGGGGCATAGGACAGATAAGTGTGTTCATTGCCTAGCCTTCTCAAAGCAGGCTAGGAAGAACCGCGAGAACCGGCTTTGGAGGCTCCTTTGGGATAGGGCTCTGATGCAATCAGACCCGCTCGTCTCTATCCCAAAACTTGGCTCCGCTTCTGTGGCTCCACCCTCATGCCCTTCGGCTGAAGGTGCATCCACTTCAGTGGCCCCCTCTGCTTCACCAAAAAAGAGGCATGAGAAGCAGAAGCATGCCGAAGAGAAGCCGGCGGGCCATAAGAAGACCAGAAAGGAGAGGGCCTCTAAGCCTCCAAAGAAGGCTAAGTCCACGGACCATCCCCGACATCGGGACTCAGAGCTGACAGGACCCTCGGTACCGGTGGCAGTTACGATACCGACCCCGCCCGAACTGATCCTTCAGAAGGCCATGTGGGTTACCGCTCAAGGGTCTCCCCGACGTGCGGTCGACCTCCCGCCTGGACACCTTCCAACTCTACAGGGGTCTATTTCGGATGGGGAAATCCAGGACTCCCCTCCTAGGGCGAGGTCACCGACACCGATGCCTGCGGTGACGTTGGAGACAGAAGCTGGCCTGTCCCCACCAGGGAATCGGAGGAGCTGCTCGGTAGAGCAACACCCGGAGAGTTGACGTCGTCCCTACTACCAACTTTGGGGAGACCTGCTCTCTGTGGGGTACTACCCAGGGCGCGATCTCACCTTCAATCCCCGCAAAGCGGAAGCAGCCGCTCTTTCTCGCTGGCGGAGTCATCATTTTCTGCCCCACCATACTATGGTGCTGATTCGGATGACTCTGAAGTAGACTCAACCTCCCTGGACGTCATGGTGAAATCCCAGGATCCTGTGTCACCCGATGAGTCCCACATCTCCTTCACGGAGCTGATGTCGAGGCTTGTCCAGTCCCTGGACATCGACGCTGCCCAGCGCCCGGAACCGTCGACGGACAAGTTTTACGACGTCATCCGCAGGGAGCAATTGACCTCCATCGTTCTGCCGCTTATAACCACCCTGCGGCAGGTGATGACGCAACCCTGGGACCTACCTTCACATCCTCAGCTGACGTCCAGGAGGTATGAGTCGATGTACAGGGTCCGGGAAGAAGACATCCCCTTCCTGTTAAAGCACCCAAAACCAAACTCGGCGGTCATTGAATCCTCGCAAGGCAGAAAGGTGAGAGGACATACGGCGCCGAGGGATAAGGAGGGCCGGAAAATAGATTCCCTGGCCAGGCGAGTCTATGCTGCCTCGGGCTTAGGACTTCGCATATCCAACTACGAGGCAACGTTGGCGCGATAGCAATATTTTATTAAGCAGCACCTCCACAACGTTGCCTCCACCCTCCCAGACCACCAGGGTGACCTTGCGAAGGTCCTAATCAAAGAAGCCATGCAGGTTGCGGTGCAGCAGTTGTCCACGGCACGTCACCATGTGGACACTGACTCCCGGGCCTTGGTCGGTGCTGTTTCCCTCCGGAGACACGCATGGCTTTGGAATTGTAATTTCCCGGAGGAAACCAAGCGGCGAATAGAAGAGATGCCTTTTGATGGTTCCGGGCTCTTCCATTCACGTACCGACCACAAACTCAAGAAACTGCACGAGTCAAGAATGACGGCGCGCAGGATGGAGATCCAGTCACACAACAGATGTAAGTGGTCCTGGAATCGGCCATCCTACAGGCAGTCATACCAGCAGAGACAGCTGCCGCAACACTGCCAGCAACAACAGCATCAACAGCGCCGCAGCCCTCAGCCCCAACAGCGCTTCCAACAGGGCCGCCGTCGTTCGACTATCGGAGGCAGTGCTGACGGGACTGGCGAACCACTCCTCATGCTCCTCTAATACCCAGCCCCCTCTCATCTGGGGATCGGCTCTGAAGCCGACTCCCCGTTTGGGAGTCCATCACAACTGACCGGTGGGTATTATCCATCGTTCAACATGGCTATCGAATAGAATTCGACATCGTTCCTCCATCGAGTCTGATCCGGTCTACTTCATGTTCACCGGTACTTCTTGACGAAATACATCAACTTCTCCTTAAAGGAGTGATTCATCAAGTATTTCCATCTGACGGACTTCACGGATTCTATTCCAGATATTTTACGGTCCCCAAGCAGGATGGTGGTCTACGTCCGATTTTGGATTTACGGGACTTGAATAAGTTTATTATACCGAGAAAGTTTCGTATGACCACCCTTCAAAACATTTTGCCATTGTTAAGGAGAGGGGATTGGTTCGCCTCACTGGACCTGAAGGACGCCTACTTTCATATTTCAATTCATCCAACTTACAGGCGTTTCCTCCATTTTGCTGTTGCAAACCAACTTTATGAGTTCACAGTTCTACCCTTTGGACTGGCTACGGCTCCAAGAGTTTTTACCAAATGCATGGCTCCTGTCTGTGCCTTCCTACACCTTCAGGGCATACAAATTTACGCGTACCTCGATGACTGGCTGTTGGTCTCGCAATCCAGAGAAGGACTCCTAGACACCATCCATACAACCCGTACCTTACTAGATAGTCTGGGCCTATGTATTAATACAGAGAAATCTTCTCTTCTTCCGACACAGACGCTCACCTTCATTGGAGCCCCCTTGGATTCGACGTTGGAGAAAGCCTTCCTCTCTCAGGACAGACAGCAGACTCTCGCTCGCCATATCCATCGAATCCGACGAGAGGGAACGGTTACGGCGAAATCCATCCAGAGGGTCCTGGGGTATATGGCCTCCTCAGTTGCCGTAGTTCCACATGCCAGACTTCGGCTTCGCCCACTACAACTATTCTTCAACAAGGTGTATCATCCACAAAGGGACCCACAGTCGAAACGGATTCGGATCCCGTCTTCTGTGCTCCACTCCCTGTGCTGGTGGCTGAAACCGACCAATCTCGTGATGGGAGTCCCCTTCAGGGCGCGACCTCCTTCGATAACTCTCGGTACTGACGCGTCTCTCCTAGGATGGGGGGGGCGATATGCTCTGGCCTGTCTACCCAGGGAACGTGGACTCGTCTAGAATCCACGAATCATATCAACTTCCTAGAGCTGCTGGCAGTCTTCAAAGCCCTTCGTTCTTTCGAAGAGCTCTTTCATCATCTGATCGTTCAGATAACTTCGGACAATATAGCGACCGTTTTTTATCTGAACAAGCAAGGAGGGACGAAGTCACCGACCTTAGCTAGGCTTTCTATGAGAATTTGGGACTGGTGCATTCAGAGACACATTACTCTGATGGTCGTTCATCTGGCTGGCACAGACAACGTGCACGCGGATCTTCTCAGCAGACACATCTTCACCTCTCACGAGTGGGAACTGGATCCTTGTATGCGCAACCACCTTTTTAGGCGCTGGGGGTTCCCCCATGTGGACTTATTCGCTACTCGACGGAACAGGGTATGCAAGACTTACTGTTCCAGAGCGGGAATCGGACAAGCATCCCTAGGAGATGCATTCATGATCCCTTGGGACAACATCAACTTCTATGCTTTCCCTCTGATCCCTCTTCTGATGAGGGTCATAGCAAAGATAGTGAGCGACCGTGCATCGGGGATACTAGTTGCCCCTTGGTGGCCACGTCAAGCGTGGTTTGCGAAACTGCTCGACATCTCCCGCGGGGAGTTTCTTCATCTTTCAGCACTTCCATATCTTATAACGCAAATGGACGGCACACTTCGTCACCCAGACTTGCTATCATTGAACCTGACAGTGTGACGGATTCAATGATTAACCTTCCATTGGGGCCGACGACGGATTTGAGAGCCTCGAATCCGACAGCTTCTACTAATCCATCAGTACTGACGATTACTTCGACCACTTCGGTTCCAATTCTCAAATCCAACCATGTGGGTGCCTCTCACTGCCACAGTCTCTCCGTACCATCCGGTTCAAGACAGACCCCGTCGAATTCGAACCCAACGCTCTTGTACCCTGAGATTCAGCATATTATCAACTCTGCCCTAAAGCCATCCACAAGGAGGTTTCGGCAAGGGGCGGCATAGAAATAATAATAATAATAATAATAATAATAATAATAATAATAATAATAATAATATACGGCTAAATGGAAACGTTTTTCCACCTTCGCCGAGTTCGTTTTCCCCACTTGTCTCATCAATCGAACAAATTCTTCAGTTCCTTCTGGAGTTGCATCACTCTGGACTGAAGCCGTCTTCTCTTAAAGTGTGT